CCCTGCAATTCTGCAGCTGATGTGTTTGTGGCGGGAGAGGCATTCGGCGCGAAGGACGTGTTGCGGCTATGTCAGCTGTATGAATGCTGGGGCAGGGAGAAGCTTTTGGCCTCCTCTTTGCCATTCTGACTTTAGAGCCTGCTGCGATTCCTGCATGTTGGAGTATTGGTCTCTCTGTTGCTAGCAACTGCCTTCCCTGACAGCTCCAAACAAAAAAGCTTAAAATAGCTATCTAAGTGCTTACAATTAGAGGAACTGTTAACCCATTTCCAGTGGGAAAGAATAGTACATTTGTGTAACTTTACAGAGCCTGAAAGCAACGTTTCATATTCCTTAATTACTGTGCTCTTTCTGTGCTCTAAGGCTGCCCAAGTCTTTTCAGATCATAGTATTTATCATGATGACGGATTACAATAGCTAATGTTCTTAACTTCAGTACAGTTTATAAACATTAACTAATTTAAGAAATGTACCATATACCTATTCTGTTAAAGGGTGACCCTGCACTGTGTTGCAAAGCCATTTGTAAAGATGGGATTTCCTGCATATTTGTTTACAAAAGTCCAGTTTACATAGCTGCCTCTTTCTCATAGTTCTCTCTAAGAACTGCATGTTGTTGCTGTGCAAGAAAAAAGAGGAGTCTTGTGTAAATCATGAATCTTTTGTTTTCATGAGATGATATTTGGGCAAAATTTCAATTATTTTGGAAATACCAGTGAAAATTTTACTTGAAGATAAATTAATTGAGGATCTAACTTGTATTTGTTGTACTACCTTTTCAATAGCCGGTAGAAACAACATTGTTGGTTCCTTTACAAATAAATCAGGGTGTTGGTTTTTTCTTTCCTTTTGTTGTTCATTTAATAATCTAAGTTTTAAAATTCCAGTCTGTCTTTTTAATAGTTTTTCTTCCTCCATGGTGATTTCTTTTCTGGTGCAACGGTTTGTGTAAGCAAGATATTGCCTGACTTGTTTGTTGTAAGGACAAAACTAATCAGCACTTAATGGGCATTTTCTTTGTAACAACTTTTTAAGTCTTTCTCATCCCTTTTAAACAAACTTATGTGGAAAATCCCAGGTGCGTTTTGAAAGGCAAACCTCCAATACTTGTACTGAGTTTACAGCTTGAATTGAGGAAGACAACCCAAAATACAGGTTGAAAGTTCTGTGAAAGTACACAACTCCCCTCTCATAGAACTGTTGTCTGAAAGCTTCCTTTTGAGGTGCATCTGTTGTGCTTCAGACCCTATTAATTCAAAAACCAAAAATCCTTCTCTCTAACATCCTGCGTACTGGAGTGCATCTGCATGTTTAGATGAAATACGGAAAACTGTGGTGATAGGGGATAAATAAAACCCCATCCATGCATGTAAATAGAAGTATAATCAGAATACATGCTTAGGTGAATTTTAAGACTATTGGAACAGAAAAGAAAGCTGTCCAATTAAAAAACATCTGTGAGAACACGTTTTCACTGCCTCTCCTTTATTACATCCTTTACTGTAATAGACCAAAATATTGTACTTCAGTAGGATTTGTATTTCTCCTTGGTTTGATTAGCTTATGAGTTATAGCTAATTTATTTCTATTTGGATATGTGTATTTTTCCCAAACAACATGTTAATTCTACATTTTGTGTTATTTTGCTTGCTGTAGGTAATTAACCTATGATGCTGCATGTCAGGAATGGTCTAGACTGAAGCAGTAGTTTGCCACATCTGGTGGTGCAATGCAAGCTACCTGATTTTGCTGACACACAGTCCTTCAGCATGACCATTGTCTTCCCTCCTTCACGTCATAGAGCTAATGGATTTCACTTTTGAATCTCTGCTTAGTACAGTGGTTTAATATGACTTCTGTCGATTCCCAGCCTCTGAAAGTGGGAAAGTGAAAGTGGTAGGAAAGTAATTTTAACCATGCTGTCCTTGGGGCAGAGGCGCCCTTGAAGTCATAGCTTCAGTCTTTCTCCCCAGTAGAAATGGGCCAATCACGTGAAAATTTGGGTAGGCCATAAATGTGTTCGATGTGTACTACTTCCTTAGGTATGCATTTGCCTAGCCCCAGGCAGGCACCTTCAGGCAACAGTGGAAGTTGTCAAGCTTCCTGGATGCTGTATTTTCCCTTTTGTTGTTGCCTGTCTGTGAAACAGCTTTTCTTTGATCTCTTTGCATCTATTTACTGGCAGGCTGTAGAATTCCTTTTTTGATGTGCAGTGTTAAGAAAACAAGTAAGCCTTCTCCATCTCATAGGCTTTATTGATTCCAGGACTTTCATCTGGTACAGTTCCCTAGATTAGTTTCTTACTTGGAGGTGTTGGGGGGGGGTGACTGTCACCTACTTACATTCTTTTGTAGCAGGCTTCTTTTAAACTGAGGGCAATTCAATTAGTTTGTTTTGTTTATTCACTTTGGGCTTCATTGGTGTTCCTCTGTGGTGCTAGACTCCTGTAAACTATGCGTTTTGCTTTAGGGACAGGCTTTCTAGACATCTGTGGATTGGGATATAAATTGGGATAAGGTGACAAGGTCATGAAACCATCATCCTCCATTTATGTTTTTGTCTTTCTTGGACAATGCTGTGTTTCTTGGTTGCTTTGAGCTTTCCCCTGCCTTTCTTCCGAGGATAGATTGCTGTACTTTGCTGTATAAAATTTATAAACATGGTCTATTTTCTGTTTTTTCTTGTTCCCTCCTGGGGTGGTGTGTAGGAAAGCTGTGCTGTTATCCTTCCTGTTCAAGGTGTCTGAAGGTGGCGAGTGGGAGGTTGCAAACAATCTGCAGGAATTTTGATGTAGCTAACTGTCTAGAAGAAAATGTGACAAAGTGAGTGTGCAGGAGAGGCTTGTGAGGGAGAGATTGAAGCTCTTCTCATATACAGCAGGGTAATCATAGGATATGGATAAGCTGTCCAATAAGCTTTGCAAATCTTTTACCAAACACAAAAACTGTCCCGTTTTCATTGCTTTCTTGGTTCTTACTCAAGGCTGTTGCAATAGGTGGTGGTGGTGGTTTCATAGGGACAAATTTTTGTTAGTTTGAACAAGTTTCTTGTTTGTGATGCCCTGTAAGTCTACAGTCATTTTTAAAAGGCAAACCACCAAAACCAGAAACAAAACCTACCCTAAACCAAAAGCTAACTCTGTCTTGCTCTTGCACTGGAAGAATTAAATTTTCTTTTCCTTTTCTGCACATGTGTAAATAGCGTACCTAATTTTTATCTTTTGCATGTAGATTTATATCCATGTTTTCTTACAGGATTGGGGAGGAACTGATAGCTAGTATCCTGTATTCTCTTCTTGATTTTTTGACCTGGTTTGTTGTATGATCTTTAGAAGTGAGTTAGTTCCTCTGGTTATGTTCCTCATTAGTAAAATGCGTGTCATGATTCTTCACATGTTTCATAAATGTGGGATTTGATCATAATAACGAGCAAATTAGAGAAGGAAGGCTCGACTGCTGTGTCTCAGAAGGACACTGAGTAGCTTGCTGCATTTGACTTAAATGTAAAAATTGTTATTGGAATCTGTTCATCATTATTAAAAGTGGGTGAGCTTCTTACAGGGGAGATCAGTAACTTGAGTTGCTAGCAGCAGGAGGATTTAGTGAGAAATGATTCTTATCACTCTAATTTGACAGATTTCCTGTAAGGATCTGTGACAACATTGTTGCAGTTAAGGCTGAGAATGTACATTAGCTAGAACCCAGGAACACTTTTTATTTTTCACATAAAAAAAAATGAAAACAGAAGTTTTAAAAAAGCTAAGATTGAAGTAGTGAAATAGAAGATGGTCTACAATTACTTATTATTTTCTGCATCCTTAACGTTGCCAGGGTTTGAAGAGAAGTCGGAGTCTTCTCAGAGTCATTTCTGTGACACTCTGTCAGAGAGAATTGTGTGCAAATGATCTCAAAGGAGGTTAGGAACGTGAAAAATTTGAACTTGCTTATCATGCCGAAGATAAGCGGCATAGCGAATGAACTAAGCAAAGCACAGGACAGCACAGCCCTCAACAGGTGGGCTGAAGAGTGGAGTTTAAGGTTACTACAGTGTGTGAGGTCATGAACTTGATATGTGAAATTGTACAAATATACACATGCTTAGTGAAGAGGATATTTGAAGAAATGGAATAATGGTGGGTGGTTATTAAATATACAGGCAAAAAAGTTTTAAAGGGAAATAAAGATATTTTATATTATATGGTTACAACTGAGTATTTTTAATTTGTCCTCTAAATCAAATAACCTTTGAACTTTAAGAAAAAAAAAGTGCATTAAAAAGGTTGTATAGCAGGCTCTCCGAGCTAATGAGAAACTGGGACAAGATGGTTGCAGTGGATAGGCATGTCTAAACAATTATACAGAATCTACTTTGTGCTGAGTAAAATCTGCTAATGGGTGCTCAAGGCTGGTATCAGCCTAGTGAGTGGCTCTGAGTGCCGGTGCCCCTCACTCCTCAGGCACCTCTGCTTTCAAAAGACTTTATTAATCTGAGAACAGCAACCTGGATGCAGGCAGAGACTCCTCAGTCCGGTTGTGTACTTAAGTCCTTCAGGAGATATTGCCTATATCTATCCCATGTGGTGTTTTATATGTGTTTATGTTTTTCTTTAACGCTATAGTGCAAATATACTGGAGAAGTTTTAGCTAAAAATGCTAACTCTAACTTTTCTCAGTAAGGTGCCATAGATTACTTTGCTTATGTTTTTTTCGTTCCAGAAAATACTGCCTAAGTGCCCATTGTGCATATGTGTATCTAATTTGACATTCTTTTAGGTCTAGAAGAGAAGGCCTTGCAACATGAAAAATTCCTTAGAAATCATGAAATATTTACAGTATTAAAGGAAGTGACATACAATTCATATTCGTCTGAAGAAAGCTTGAGGGATGTTCTTGCATGCCAGAAGTTCTGGAAGTGAAAATAACTGATAAGGTTGCATGCCAAATCTTAGAGTTACTAAACCAGAATATACTGATGCTAGGTTCTGCTTTTTCTCTGTGCAGTGTAAAAGCAGTGCAAGGTATCATAGCACTTCAGTATATTTGGAGGCAAGACACAGTATCTTCTGGGAATTACAGTATCAGAACTGGCTCTGTGCTTTATTCAAAGGTAAGAAATGGTCAGGGGCATACTGCTCCAAAACACACTTAAGCCTGAAAGTGTGTTGCCATTTTACTGCGCTACTGCGGGCTGACTCTTGTGCTGAATTTAAAGTAAAACAAAATTAAAAAACCCCAAAGCTGGTAATTGGCTAGGATGATGATAATATGAGCTCATCCCTCAACCTCAGGGAGGGAAGCCTGCTTAGTCACAGAGCCAGCAGTGCTCCAGCAGTGAAGCTGCCAAGTGTGAGCTTTCCTGGAGCATAGTCATGCTGCAGCTTGAACATCTATCACTTCAGCTTAAACTATGGACTATTATTATTAGGGTGACCTACAAGATATTTTTCTGCATTTTTTCTATGTAGAAAGAAAGTCTTAAAAGCTAATTTTGTGATGTTTTCTTTTAATATATAATACTGGATGCACCAAATCTGGTGTTTTGTTGGTTTTTTTGTTGTTGTTGTTTTTTTTTTTCCCTTGGTGATCTCTTAGTTATGGTTTATTTTTACATGCAACTGGGAGAACTGGGTTGTTCGGTAAACATGTTTTGTTCAAAGTACCTTACATCTCTTTCCCTCACCAGTAATGTCATTTTCACTATCTCACTATCCTGGTTCTTGTGATGCTGTAACTTCGGTTGTTCTTCAGTCACTACAGTCTTCTCAAGTGACAAAATAACTTCCCTAAGAGGCAAATAATTTATCTTAGGACTCCCTTTATGGAAGACACATATTCCCCCCCTCCTTTAGGTTATCTCTGCACTTACTTTTTTGGTGAACTTTGCATTTATATACTGTTGTCAGATCTCTTTCCTAGATAGGTGCAGTTCTAAACTGATCTGAGCTAGGCTTTGCAATACTGGTGGCTTCTTACCTAATAATGGAAGAAACAAAGCCAAATCTGCACAAGTGGAGGTTTGGAGAGCTGTGCTAATGCAGCACTTTCTTGCTAACCTGAGAGCTCTCTTCCTAAAGGTCTTCTGGATACCTCTGTGTGTGTGGTAGTTGCAAATCTCAGCCTCCTCTGTTAAGAACAGCATCAGCTGTTTGGTTTTGGGGTTCCCCCCTCCGCGCCTTGTTTTTTTCCTTTCTTTTTATAAAAGGGTTAAAACCAAGGACCCTTGAGGTCGTATGCCAGCTTTCGAGCAGTTATTGTTGCGTTCTTCCTTAGAGTGTAGAAAATCTTCTAGAGGTTGTCTGGCAGGTTTATATTTGATCTAGTGATGATGTCTTCTGATATACAGAAAAACTTGCTTTTTTTTAAATCAGAGTTATGTGACTGATCAATACGAAAACACAGAAAAGCATCAGTGAAAGGAAAATTTACAATGTTGTCTATTTTGGAGAGAAAAACAGCTTGTGATTTCAGAAAGTAAGATAGTGTCAGAAACCACTGTTCGTAGCATTACCTCAGATATTGTGGTTTAGCTGTTAGCTCTGTCACATTTGTGGCAGTGCTGCAAAAAGCAAGGAGAAAGTATAACATTAATGCACCTGAGAGGCAGATAGCAACCTTTCCACCTCTACATTTTTGCTACCAGGGATCGAGTTTCCTGCTGTAGGATGTTTTTTCCTCTCCCAATGAAGTTCTGAAATAGGAAAAAATTACTTTATGAAATCCTCATTTGTGTACTTGTTGCAGTTTAGAGAGAATTTTCCATCTCACGTGTCCATAATTTCTCCTAGAGTTATTTTCGTCCTGTTGAGAGAGGACTGGAAAATGAGCTGAGACGTTGTGCTTAGAGGAGGGAGGAACACCCTGGCTCGGTGATACGGGGTGGCAGAGGTCCCTGGTTTGTAGCCAGGGCGAAGGGGGAGGGAGCGTGGGGGGAACAGCTATGTAACAGCCCGAGGAAGTGAGTCACTTCGCTCTGAAATGCAGGCCCGTGGTTCCAGTAGCGCTGAAGCCAAGCTTGGCCTCTGAGGTGGAAGTTGCGTAAGTTAATTTAAACTCTTTTGTCTTTTCCTCCTCCTCATGCTCCCAACCCCACCTCAGTATTAAATTCTCCACTGTAGCTGTAGCCATATCCGTTTAGAGGAAGCTCAGGCTGCAGAACTTGAGTGTGCTGTATGCTTTTGTTTTAATATTTTTCATTTCAGAGAGAGAGAAATGGATTGCAGGTTTCATTGGAGGGGATGTTAGTCTTACCTGCTCCGTTCAAGAGAAACTTGGTTTTCTATCAGAGGTGATGCAATAAGAATAGGTTTGTAACAATTTATTAAAATCTTACTGAAGTATATTGGCAGTGTGATGTGAAGTAAACGGAGTGCATATTGAAAAGAGATAGTTCTAGAGACTTAATAACTTGAGTGTTAGTAGTAGTTTAAGAATTTACTTAAATTTAAAACTAAACTACTTAAAAGGTTTTATGTGTTTTTAATAGAAATACTGGTATATGTGTTAACACATTAGATCTTAATCCTACAAACTAGGCTTTTAAAGCCTAAGTTTGTGGATAGCTTTTTCTGGGGAAGAGGAGGGTAGAATTGTCCTAGACTGCATGTTCCAGGAAGTCTTTCTTCTGTTATGTTTTAGCTTTACACTAACAGATAATTGCTGATGCCCAGGAGCAGTTGTAACAATCTGCCTGAACTACTTCTGTGTGAGTGTGACCTGAGCAGGAGCAGTTGCTTTCAGCTGTTGAAGAAAGCATCTGAGAGGGCAAGAGGTTGAGCAGGCCCTGTCTTCAGCACTTGGATGCTTGGTGGGCAGTTCTTAATTGGAAGGCAGCTGTAATGACTGGGCGGGGGGAAGTGAATGGTGGGCTGCTGCCTGTTCCCTTTCCTTCAAAACACCGACTCTGAGCATCTTGCTGCATGTTTGGCTGCAGCCTTTGTGTACATGTGTATGTTTTAAATGTCTTTGGGAAATGTGGCCTGACGCATTGTTTTTCTTTTAGGGAGTCATGAGGGGGTTTTTGTTTTGTGGTGTTGAGTTCAGATCAAAAACATATTATTCTGGCTACAGGAAGACATCGAAGTAATTGGCCAGATGAGAGGGAGTTTAAGAGAAAAACCTTCAGGATAAGCTTGAGTGATGAGTCAGAAGTCTGTGTGCAATTGGAAGTTGCATCATGCAAATACGGTGTGATACCTCTTTTGTAAAAATAAGTTGTTTTGTTTTACATTCTTCTAGCAGATGACATCTATTATTTCTTACACATATTATACTGATTTCATTTCCATGGGAAATGGGACAGACATACATGCTGTTGCTTATCACGTGGGGATTTATATGCCGGTTATGTCTGATGATTCATTGCAATTGCTTCTCTATTTCAGGACCTGTAACTAAGTGGACCCTACCGACCTCTGAACGACAAAGGATAAGAGTGAAAAGAAGTGGGAGAAGCACACGAAGAAAAAGGAAGTGGATGCACTTTCACCTGGACCTCTTTCCTGCTCTTTATTACTAAAACTGAATGGAAAAGAGAGACTTCCGTGCCTTTCCTCCCCCAGCCTCAGGGATGGGTGGATTGTAAATACGGTGTGTGCAGCTGGGAGAACAGACTAAACCATGAATCTTCAGGCTCAGCAAAAGTCTTCAAGCAAAAGGACTGGGAAACGAGTTGCCTATTTTAATGAGCAGGAAATAGCTGTGTCATCAAAAGAACCACAGCAGCAGCTTAAGGAAGGACAGTACTATGGTCATGGTGGGAATATACCAGTCTCCCAAACTATGGAGATTTCTCACACAGGAGGATTAACAAGTGCCCCCAACAATGTTGCTTTGATGAACTCTGTTTACAGTCAAGATAGGGGAGAATCAATGATGATGTCCCAGACGGTAACAGCTGTCAAATGGCAGAATTCACTAATGGGAAACCGGTTGCCAGAGAGAGGTGACGGCCACTGGCAGTCTCCACCTTCGATGTGGAACCACAGTATGGTTTTTGGGGGCAACCCAAAAGGACCTCACTCCAATGCTGGTGCCCCGGGGTTCTATGGCCACCCAGAAGCCCTTAAAAGAAATCAAGAGAAGGGAGTGTTCGTGTCACAGCTGGACTTGTATGGAGATGCTGTCCAACAGATGATGTCCCAGAAGGCTCAGCTGGAACAGCAAGCCCTGGTTAGACAGCAAGCTCAAATGAATTCTTTTCATCAGATGCAGAAGCAGCAGCAGCAGAATCAGAGTCTGCCGCTACAGCCTTTCCAACTTGCATTTGGTCACCAAGGCCAAAAGCAGGGTCTTCCTGAATTGTTACATGTCTTTCAAGAGGCCCCAGCTTCTTCCAGTCCAGCGTTTACTGCTCAACAAAAACAGCAAGCTCTTCCCCAGCTACAACTGTTTGAAAATTTCTATCCTCAACAGCAGCAGCAGCAACAGGCTGCCACACAAGCCTTCAGTCTGCAGCAAACTACTTCCATAGCACAGCCTCATGTGGCAGCTGCAGCACCTCAGCATCACATGATGGCACACCAGTTTCAGCAAACTGAGAGGAACCAGGAACTATTCAAGGCTCTAACAGAGCAGAACCAACAGACTGTGCTACCTCAGACCCAGATTCCCTTTCCAAGAAGGTCACGGAGACTCTCCAAAGAAGGTGTCCTGCTGACATCTGCAGGAGAAGTATTGACTTCCAAGCAGGCAGAAGAACAACCTAGCAATTTATTTCTGCATCACTGGCAAACACATCAGCAAGAGGTCCCATTACAGCAGCCACCCGAATCACTGGCCCACAACAAAAGTAGCTATTCGCACCCCAAGAGAGTGGATCCGGGGCAGAAGGACATCCTGGTCAGCAGTGAGCTGTGCCAGGTGGAAACAGACAGGCAAGCCACAGCCCAGAATGGGAGAGATGGGGAGAAACAGGTAGCAGCAGCTGAGGAAAACGCTCAGAGAACTAATGATTTTCAGGGTGTCAGAGGTGGTGTAATCCAGAGTACGCGACGGAGACGGCGGGTTTCTCAAGAAGCTAATTTGCTAACTTTGGCCCAAAAAGCTGTTGAGCTGGCTTCTCTTCAGAATGTAAAGGTAAGGCATACATCCTAACCAACATAGCGTATTTTAGACTACAAAATATGTCTGAAATTAAAGAAATGTATGTACATATGCAGGATAGGATGGTATTTTGATGCAAGAAGTGTTGTAGCACAGCAAGGACAGCTCTGGAGTGGTGACATGTAAGTTCAGCTGCAGGAGGATGGAGACCTCCTAGTGTAGTGAAACCACCTAAGGGCAGTTTTATTTCACTAATACTTAATTTTAGCCTAAGGCTTCAAAATAAGGACATTTTCATCTTGGGCCTCAAGCTGATCAGGAATTTCGAGAGACAAGTATAAGCAGTTCAGTTTGTGTCTTTTTGCCAATTTAACATTCTCTTCTTTTTATGTTAAAAGATTGCTGCTTATCTGCCAGTTTTTCAGTTTTAGCAGTCAAAGTGTTTTCTAAATTCTGCTATCTAAAAATTACATCATGCAATTTACATGTTCAATATTTCCCAAGTATTAGAAGTCTGAGGAAGCCTCCCTTACATGAAGAACTTAACCCAGGTATAACAAAGGTCTGACTGATGGGGTATCGTGTTTCTGAGAATGACCTGCAACAAATGTTTGTAGATTGGTAACCTAAAGACCAAGTCAGCCTGTAAAGCTTCTGCTGGGTTTGATGGGGAAAAAAGTTAGTGTTGGCTGATTAGGTAGTTCACTACTGTTATCATTTTGGTGTCCCATCTTTCTGAACTGTACAGTATGTATTCCACAGATGGAAGATGACTGGGTTCAAAATTAACTAGCCTAAGGGAGGCAAGTAGTGGGATTTTTCTGAGGGCTTTTTGGAGCTCTTCTTTCAGTTGTGGTTTGACTGATCTTTCACTGAATGCCTCTCATGAGAAGTAAAGATACACTTTTCCTTGGAAGCTTTGTTGCTTTGATGAGCTACTTCTACATACAGTTTTACCACTTGAGTTGCTGCCCAGTTAGGCAACAAAGGGAAGGGAATTTTATTCCCTCTCTTGTTCTCGTCATCATTTTTTTTCCTAGTCTGTCTGTGGCTGGTTTTTCCAATCCCTTCCTTAGAGGGATGTGCTATTTGAGTGAAAGAACTGAACTAATAAACAATGAGGCAAATATCCATAGCTTACTCTACCTCTTACACAGCAGACAGCAACCAGTGACTGCTGATGCTGTCTTCAGTCCTTTTTCCTCTAACTCCAGCTGAACAAGCGGATTTGATAGAAAACTAGTAGTAGTGAGCAGCACGAGCTATTTGCTCAGACTCTTCCAGCCATTGTATGGTTATATTTTATGAAGGCCTACAGTTCGCATTGTGGTCTGATCACCAACCCCATGGCAAGAAAAGGCTAACAGAGCATCTAGGAAAAGGCCTTGAGAGATGAAGCAAGAAATTGGTCGTTTGAAGGCATGTCTGCTTGCAGCTTGATTCATAATGTAAAGACCAAACAGAGGAGTGTTTTGACAGATGCTCTTTTGTTCTTTGCAGTTATACAAGCAGCTTGTTTGCTTCTGTGATGGCACAAGCAGAGCTTATGTTTAGATCTCTTCAGGCTTTCAGGATGAGGTTTTGAAAGATGTTAAAATTCTTACCTGAGGTTTGATGGATTTTACATCCTTAAGGGGGTTGGATATCACATGAGGGAGAAAAAGAAAACACGTTTATTGGTGGAGAGTGATCTGCTGCTCTCACCAGTATCTTTCTGTTATAAACAACCTAGAAGCCTTCTCTAGCATAGGTTATGTGAAGAGCATGTAAGACCACCATAGGGTTAAATTATTGATGAAAGAAGATACAGTCATAATTTAAACCAGTTGGTTGAACATTCCAATGCAGATGTGTGTACCTTATGCAAAACCAGTATTTTGGACAGCAGTATCTTTCTACGTGAGCAGCACAACTGATGCTTTGCACCAGAGCTGGCCATTATACTGTACTTGCCTTTTTCAGGTGGTGCAAACTTATTGCTGCTTACAGACTGCATCATATTCTCAACTCTTAGATTTCTGGCTTCGTTTCACATATAACTGTCATATGCAAAAAGGTGGTATAATTTATTTTCTTTAATAGTGCAGAAAACTTTTCTGAGGTCTGAAATGGTTGTCTTAAGGGTGTCTGGATTTAAATATTCCTTTATGGAAGGAAGACGGATGTTTCAGTTACCTGGTCTCTTTCCCTTGGCACAGGGCAGGGTACCAGCTGCCACATACAAAAGGGTGGTGGTGGTGAAATAAAAATTATTTGTGGAATTGCAGTTCTGGACTCACCTCCTTCTTGGACAAGCTTCAGTTTGACTGCAGAGAGAAGCTGCCTTTACTACTAGCAAGCTGATGCAGAATGATTGCAGAAAGCACTGTACAGGCAGGTGTTTCTGAAAGGCTGCTCTGTTTTCTTGTCTTATCACAGCAGTGGCCTTGGAACGGTTCTTCCAGCTATCACAACTGGGTTTTGTCTGTGGAGTCTAAATTTTGTAGAAACAGCTTGAAGGATAGATAGGATCGATGCCAGAATGACTGATGGGTTTCTGTGGGTGTCCTGGAGGACTCCAGGTCACTAGTTCATGCCTCAATATTTATGCAAGAGTCCAAATTGAAGCGCAACAAGTTGCACTTGCTAGAGTTACCCAGCGGCACTCCTGATCCGTGTTCTGCAACAGAGGTGCTGAGCTAGCTGAAAATCCACTAGCAGTTCTACAAATGAAGGTCCTGTCTCTTGTTCAGTGACTCCTTTCTACTTGCTTCTGACCACAATCAATCAGATGGGAAATTATTTAGGGATCCTTAACAAACAGCTTAATTCCAAAATCAGTTGTGTCCCTTCTTAGTAAACCTAAGTATGTGTAATCTTTCATGACCAGAAAAACTCTGGTATAGACCAGAGCATCTTTAAGGATGTCTCAGCTATTTGTATTAAGTTCCCAGTGGTCCCTTCTCTCTACTACTGTTCAGGTCTCTGCCTTCTTCTTCTTCTGAAGGGATCATCTCTCCCACCATCAGGGAAGAGAGTCCTTTTCTGGTTACCTTGCAATCTTGCAAATAAAAGGAGCGTGGTTAACCGATCATACAACCAAAGAAATGTGACATCTTTTGTGTCACTAGCTGCCATAATTTCTTCCTTGTAGTTGGGAAACTAGTTCATGTCTCTTGACCTACAGAGATCTGTGTAGCACACAGGAAGTAGCTGAAGTTTGTAGATTGGTCAGAATTAGTGCTTGCTTACATAGTCATATTGCTGTTATTTGTTTGATTGCCATTATTCTCTTAGGTACCCAGAAAGTATGCTAGAGTGCTTGTACTAGTTACAGCTACATCAGGAGGAAAGAAGCCATCTGATTAAAACCAAGGCTCCCCTTGGCAGCTGTCTAAAATATGTAGTATGAATGTGCTGCTCTAAATAGTGGTGCAAAAGTATCTACTGTGGATCTCACTGCCAGAAGAATACCCCAGAGCTATCCCAGATGTTTAACTAGGCTTCAGTAATAAGTTGATAACAGCATAAATTTCCCTGATGAATGGAGGCCTGTATATAGCAACATGAAGCCATATGTGAGCTGCTGCTTCAGATATGGGCAGGACTAGTGGAAGTAGACATCTATGTCCAGTAGATGACCTGTTGATATGTTTAAAAAGGCATCCTTGTAAGTCTCTCCTCCCTGAAGTAGTGGAGGGAGGCTACAAAAATTTCCAAGATACCCTTACTAGCTAGAGGTAGTGGTCCCTAGTGACATATCTGTCAGCATGATGAATAGCTTCCAAATCCAAAATTGGTAGTCTCGTGGGAAAGTACAGATGCATATCACCAGTCTGAAGTGAAGAGAGGTCCTCAGAGCTCATTAATTCCTCCTGAGTGCTACCTGGAGTAGCTGATGCCAGTTGTGACTTTTCAGTTGTGCGTTTAATCACTGTGTGGTGGGGGCAGATATTTCCAGTCTCTGTGAAGAAGACTTCTAAACTGCAGTGTCACTTACGGGATAAACCTTTCTGTGCACATGTAGCCTTACTCTAATAAAAGATCTTGGAAGGAGGCAGTCCTGAATCTTGGTATGATTGATTTTATTTCCTCAAGCTTGGCACTTAGCTTTTTTTGAAGGCTTACTGTTTCAGAGTGGACCTATTTGCTCTTAAAAGCAACAAAAATCACCAGGACTCTTATTTGGAGGCTGTGACTGATGCATCTTGTGACAATACAGTTGTACTTCCCTCAATATAGTATCAAAGTGGGACTTCAGTCTAGTGTCCTTCTAGCTATTGTGGTTTGACTCTTCATGGGCCATGTGGAGCATGTTTTCTCCCTCATCAGTGAAGCCAGCTTTCTTGATCTGTGACCAGTGAAATGACTGGGTCTGTGTGACTGAATCCTTATGACAGATCCTGCTTACTCTAGCTTTTTAATTAGGATTAGGTATTCTTAACGGCACACGATAGATTCTTTTTGGGGACTTCAGTAAGTCTCTACAAAATTCTGGAGGTCCAGGTTGGAGACATCTTGTCATGCCTGAGAGATAATGTGCCTTAATTTCCACCTACAAAACACAGCTGTTCAGGTAGATTCCTCAATAAATTGTGGCTCTGACAGAGGGTGAATTTGCATACCTAATCCTAACCACCAAAGGCTTTCCAAACAGAATTCTAAGTTAGAAGTTCTGAGACACCAAAAGGAGCATCTTCTGCAGCTTCTAGGTTGCACTTCATCAGAGCTCAAGAAGGCCTTTTGCATTCCTGAAGAGAAGTGTTTTTGAAAGTTGTACTTTAACATCTGGCTTCTAAGTGAGCTGGCAACTGCTTTTGAATTGAGAGTGGAATGAACAAGTGGCTAGTCAGTTGAACTAGAAATCACTGACCTTACAGTCCCTGAAGCCACTTGGTGTTAGAGTATCCATGTGTTTATTCAGTAATTCATGCTCTATACCCATCTCCTTGGAGGTCAGTTTTCTAAGGTTTCCATGAGTAAAAGAAAGCAGAGACATGGAAGCTGTAATACCAATGCAAAAAGTGCCAGCTTGTGGTTATGCTATGTTGATTCTGCTGAGCAAAAGTCCTTCAAGCTCAAGCCTCGTTAGACAGCAAACCTCAAAGGCTCCAGTTATAAGAAGGAAAGTTGCTTGTCATGTAAATTGGAAAAAATGCAGTGAAAAGCTAGCTCTGTTTTTTGTATGAGAGATTTAATTAAGATTATCATGATTCAGTCTTTCCTGGAACAGAAGTCCAATATTTGAAATTAATAACCTGCAGCTTATGATCGTTACTGGAACTGAAGAACCTTTGTTGCAAGTTATATGGTAGGGCACAAATTCATCTGGAAAATAAAATGTCAGACAAATGATACTTAAGAATGATGTATACAAATAATCTAGTAGTTGAGACTTCAGGCAATACTCAAGTAATTCTAAGGAATTTTGTTAACACTTTGTGTTCTTCCAGTGACAATTCTCCAAATCCATTTCAGTTTGCAAATTGCATTGAGAAACTTGATATACACTGAAAGTGAGATATCCTTTATTATGTAAGTATTACAGAACTTTTAAGGAATCTGTTTTCCTTCTTAGGAACTGGATACTTCAGAAGAGGAGAAGAGTGTGCTGATAGCAGCTCCAGGACCTACAGCTGCAAAAAGTGTTGTGGAATTTGCAAGTTCTTCACCAGTTCCCAAAAGAGCCCGGGAGGATAACAGCCTTGTGCCTCTTATCATTCCTGTGTCTGTGCCAGTGAGGAAAATTGACTTGCAGAGCCTTGGAAAGGAGAAGTCTGAGGATGGAAAGCTTCAGAGAGGCCAAACAAATGATCGAGCTCCTTGTGAACGCAAGCCTTCTGTGATAGTCACTCGGAGGCGATCTAATCGTAATACTAACATGGAAACCTCAAATCAGGTATGGATAGACCAAGAAACCAAAGATGAGTCAAACCTGTTAGATTTAATTATGCAGTTTTTATCCATAAGCTATTCTAGTAAAGTAGTTTTATCTCAAGGCAGAGAAATGGCAGGCATCTAGGGAGGTTTCTCTGCATTTAAATGCCTGACCATCTAAGACAATGTTATTATATTGTCTTCTGTTCTCTTATCGCTATTTGGTGTCGCTCTATATCTGTACCAGGTTTCTGCTATACTTTTATGTCCTCTTTTAAAGCTACCATGAAATCATTATCTTTCCAACCAAAGGTTGGACCAGAAATACATGTAGTCCTTGTAAAATATAACTTAATAAGCACTCCGAGCTAGTGTTGTTACCTAATAGTTCCTGTGTCCATTCCATTCCCCATCTTCTTCCTCCCTCTTTCCCTTTGTGCTGGTTGTTGAGACACCATCCAACTGCCCTATCCAGATTTTGATCTGCCATTAAAGAATGCTGTCATCTCACTGAAGTTCTTCAAATTACCTGAGGTTTCAAGATTAAATTAAATATGTACTTTTTTTTCCTAATAGCATGAAGATGCTGTTCCAAAGGATGAAGCAGAGGGCTTTGCCCGGAAACCAAAGCAGCGACCAAGACCTGAGCCACTCTTCATACCACCAAAAGCTGGCACCTTTATTGCACCTCCTGTTTATTCTAACATTACTCCGTATCAGAGCCACTTACGGTCACCCGTCCGTCTGGCAGATCATCCTTCGGATAGGAACTTTGAGCTACCTCCTTACACTCCTCCGCCAATTCTTAGTCCAGTGAGAGAAGGATCCGGGCTATATTTCAATGCTATCCTCTCTTCAAGTGGCCATTCGGTTCCACCTCCAATGACTCCTAAAAGTGCTCACAGAACTCTGCTTAGATCAAGTAAGTTCCACTTTATCCTTCCTTCTTGGCTAATTTATGATTAGGAACTGCAGACTAATAGGAGTAAGGAAGATCATGACTTTAGGAGGTGTGGTTATGTGCAACTGGGACGACTTTGTGATAGTCTGGGGAGCTAGGATGGAGGAAATGCAATGTTGCTTCCAACGGGGCATGCATGTTAAAATGCATTCACAAGCAATCTGCAACACCCCCTATTGACGTTCTTAGGAATGGAAAAGTCAGCTCCTCTAGAATACATTGTCATTATCTTGAACTGAGAGGACAGTAAGTAGTTATTGCTAAGATATAGATGGTGACTGGAAGGTAAGTTCTTGGTCATCCTAAACTCCTTTAGCATATGGGTACCATTTTTGAGAGATGGATAGCTCCAATCATATTTACAAGCTGTGTGAAGAATAGATTTCAAATGTGAAGATGAGCTATCTGAGCAGTTCTTTCTTTTCCTTGCAGATAGTTCAGAAGTTACCCCTCCTGTTCTTACAGTAGTGGGGGAGGCCACCCCAGTCAGCATTGAACCGTAAGTACCCAGTATATTCTTAGCCTGGTAGTAAACATGCTTCCTTTCTTCCTCTTAAACCTTCAAGTACAGTCAATGTATCTCTTAGAAACATTAAAACTATTCCTATCGGTGACTCAAAAAATAAATTGTCTTTATTAAAAAATACTCCATACGATAAATAATGTTTGGGCAAATGCACCTTGTAATTCTGGTGATGTTAACTGCTTTGTGTTACCGCTCGTCTGTCTCTGGGCTAAAATACTGTTGGCTAGCTAAAGGTGAATCTGTCCTGTTTTGTTGTATACAGATCCTTCTTTGTATGCTGTATGTTTGTTTTAGAGTGGGGAGATAATGCTCCCTGAGAAGAAGGCCAAAACGTAGTATGGAAAAACATAGTTAGCTCTCACGCAGACTGGTCAGATTGCAGGTTATCCACGCACTGTGCATTAGCTGCAGCGCAACTGTGAACGCGACTTTGTTCCCTCCTGGGCTAGCTCAGTCTGAAAGCACTACAGCCAGTTGCGTACAGTGTGAGTGGCCTGAGCTAATAACCCTCATTAGGTTTTTTTAGCTGGCTGTGTGCTGGGAGATCTCGGACATATGTGGACCCAGCAGTGCTAGGGAACACAGTTCAGGGTTACTGAAGCTGGAGTTAGGAGCTTAGGCTTGGTGACAGTCCTGCTGAACCTGAGCAGAGTAGCACAAAAAAAAGAGGAGCAAATGTCTCTGCACAGCCCTTGCAAACCCTCTGAGAGTGTTATCAGTTCAAGTTCAGTGCTGTAGAACTACAAGAAGGTAGTTCCAATTCATTATTATACCTAGGTTAATGAACTCTTGCAAAATCTAAACATGGAGATGCGTAGCATGGAAACACCCATATGGCAGAAAAACACTCATGTGGCTCTGCATTGCTGACTCTGTGCAGTCAAGAGTCTCTGCTCTAACGCTGCACCGTATCCTGTAACATTTGAGATATTTAATTCAAACTCTCCCCAAATAAATACCAGGTTTCTTTTACTTTTTCTTCCAAAATAGCTTATATTTCAAAAATTGACTGGAGCATTTGCTGTCAACTTATTTTTTCTGACCCTTTTTCCATGCTGCCTTCCTGTTTGAAGCTGAGTTTTCTGCACTTTAGGCAACAGGCTGTCCTGAGCAAATGTTGCAATTGTGAATGAACCCAGATTATTCTTGTCACCTTTGCAAATCCCTTGCAGGCTGAGCCCATTCACAGAAATCAGAACATTTGGTGTTGTTAAATCTGTTTTGAAAATGGCTTAATCCATCTTTGTTGTTGGTTCATTTCACACTAACCCAGGGGAACCTCTTCTTGAACAGTTACTTTCTGTTTCCTTCCAGGTCTTCATCTTTGATCTCTGTGGTGCATTTGTCTTTGGCGGTTGTGTCTGTTGGTTTAAATTGCTGAAGCTAATGCCATGAAGTTAGCTGCAATTTTAGTTGTGTGTGAAAATTTTCAAATTTGTTGCTAGAAGTTTCAAACCATAGTAACTTAATAATACAAGCTCATTTCCTGTTGCCAAAAGGGAGTTGGGTACAAAGAGTTGTCTTGCTATCATGTTAAGTCTTAGTGAACAGATGCTAATGCAGGTAGATAGCTTTAACTTTTAACCAAGATAAATTAACAAACTGGTGTAATTCTGTGTTGTTGAAGTAATCAGTTTGCTACTCTAAAGCTAGTTTGTGCAGCACTGTTGTAGTCAGTTATGTAGACATATCTTCTATAAAGGAAATAAGTCAGGAAGAATTTTTTTTTAAGAAAAAAAAAAAGTTTAATTTGATTTGTAGTCTTTACTCAGTCAGAAGTTGACTGTAAGTTGTGATTACCTGATACTGTGTTCTTAATTGCTTGTGCTTTGCCAGACTTTCTGCTAATGCTTCTTAAAAGGTCACTTCATTGCAGAGATTTAGAATAGGAAATGCGATAATGAAACTTAATTCTTCTATTTGTGAAGTAGTACAGTGGGCAGCTGGTGTCAACAGATCTTTGTGTCCTACCGGTTTTGCAGTTCAGTTGCTTTTAAGTCTTAGTCACCCCACAGCTGGCCAGCCTTAAGTATAGCTACGGTGCATCAGCTGTGAATTGCCTTCCCAATTCTGGATGTTACCGTGTTTGGCCGTATAATGGAATGTTGCAGGAGCACCACTGGTGCTTACAGGCAAAAGCTTTTGCTGTACTGAAATCCAGGCTTCATGTGGTAAGCCCCAGCTCAGAGCAGGCCAAATGAAATCACGTTACTCAGGTCAACTCTTGCAGCAGAAATCCAGTTTTGAGCAATGAAGGTACAAGGTCTAATTCTTGGGATTTTCTAGTCCAGGCATGCCATATTCTAAATTTAGTTCCAAGATTAAAACTAACTTCTGATAGCCTTTCAAGAAGGCCCACATTCTTTCCCTCCAGCTTTTCCAATTGCCTCTCCCCCCTCACATGTGAAGTCAGAGGAGTTTGTGTCTTGGGACACAAAATGCCCCAAATTTCTCAATGTAGTAACAGCCTTTTTAACTGTTTCCACTTGATGGCAAAATGTCAGTTTCCAGCAGTCATCCCTTGTATAACCCATAACCCCCTCCTCCCCTCCAAAACCACATACCAAAAGAATAAGCGAGACTAATCACGATGAGCAGAAAATTCCATATTAATGTTATTCTGCAGTCCATCACAGTGTGCTGAAAGGAGGACTTAGCAGTGGTTTTGTTTGTTTGCTTTGGTTTTTTGAGCAAGGTCATCTCAGTCTTGCAGGAAATCTCTTGCTTTTTATTTTTGGTCTGGATTGTGCTGTTTCTGTCCAAGATAGTTAAGACAGATGAAGGAAAAATGGAAAGCTATATAGTGTTATAGTTTTAATAGACTTCCATACCTGTGAAACACTCAAAACCAAACTTTGAGGTTTCTTGGGGGTCTTCGTTTTCCATGCAAATTCCACTTAGAGTGTGCATTTAAAATTGATTTACTGTTGAGTATCAGACCCTGAAACAGTTAAAACCATGGGTATCAGAGTTGAGACATTTTCAACTGCTTTAGTTCTCCCCTGCCCACAGCCATGATGAAGTGTGTATTGTTCCTATTGCTTTACCTTCAATAGGTATTGGAGATAGTGGTTTTGGGAAAATGACAGGTAGTATGTGGCAGCCTGTGTAAAACTTTCCAGCTAGATCTGTCGTGCTGGATGTCACCTTGTCGCCTGCTGGAAGGAAGTTGACATCAGTCTGTGTGTCCAGCAGATTCTGCTTGTCCAAGGAGGGATCCCACCCTGTCAGTGTCGAGCTGCTGCCGAATGGGTGGATGAAATCAGAACAAGTGTGTAGGGAGAGTTCTCTTCTGCATCTCTTTGTTTATACGCACATGAATTGCAAACCATTCCCCTCAAGTGTGAGGAAGTAGATCTGGACCTGCTGTAAATGCAAAAGAAATAGTTTGTAAAATCACTTTTTATGTGTGTTAGAAGTCAGCCATTTGTTTTAAATGCAGGCTTTTCCAGCTCATGATATCTCACGATGCAGATGCTTGCTGGCAATACCAAAGTGATGTATTAGGCAGAAAAAAGGAATGAAGGTGTCTCCTTCCCCTTCCATACCAGAAAATTATACCCTCTTCCTTCCCTTTGATACCAGAGTCTCCCAGGACTTCAAAGCATCCTATTGGAACTTTCATAATAGACACACATGTGTCATTTCAGAACAGCAGAGGACCAGAGAAGTCTGGAGGCTAGCGTCTCAGATTGTTTGATATTCCTTATTGTACTAGATCATGCCTTTCCTCTGGTAATTGTGTTTCCCCTCATGCTGGGGAGGAACCAAGCCAAGACTTGAGAATTATAGCAAGCCTTGCCTTGGGCAGAGAGTTTGGCCTTTTTTCTAAAGAAGCAACTCCAGAGTTTAATCAGTTTGTGGGCACTGCTTGATCTCTCTCTCAAAAAAAAAAAGAGCCTATTTCTCCATCCTTTACTATTACAGGAGCTAGCAGCATGGTGCTAGTTGACTGACATCTAAAAGAGAAACATTTTTGCCTTAAGCATAGATATCTTATTTCAGAATAGATTTTCATTATATGTTAAGTGGTTTGAGGAGCAGCTTTTCTCATATATCTTGGTTTTCTGAAGGGTCTCGTTGCTACCTTAGGTTGGACATTTCTTTTTCTCTCTCTTCTGGACTTCTGAATTACATGCATAGTTACTATATGACTCAGAAAGTTGTTCTTTGACTTATTTTACACAGAGTTTGCGTAGCTACTGCTGTTTCTGTGTATTTTGCCACTGAGTAAGAGATGTAGAGGAATGACAAAGGACATCCATGCTCTTGCTGCTTGCTGTGCTATTGGTGTAGACCTCCAGACCTCCAAGTCTGGTAGAGCAGTCTGTCAGTGGTGGTTCTTACTTACCTCTGTGCACAAAATTGTGTTTGCTCGTACAGAGTAGAATCTCTGTGGATGGTCACTTGATTTAAAGCAAGTGTCGTGCTCTGTGGATTGCATATTGTGAAAGATCTGTCCTCTAATTCAGAATCTAGAAGTGTGAGATTGTTGCTGAAAGAATGGGCTTTGGCTTTGATATGGAATGAGCAGTACAGCTTTCATTGGTTTATATTTTTGGTTTCAATTGTTAGAAATAGTTTCTAGAAGGTACTAGCTTGTGTCAAGGTTGTAAAGGACTACACTTTGAGACTGATCCTGCTTTGAATGGGAAGTTGGCCCAGATAGTCTCCAGAAGTCCTTTTCAACCTAAGTGATGGTATGATTCTGTAGTTACGGCTGGCAGAACATTAATACTAAAACAGGCTCACCTATCTTATGTGTGAAGAGCAAGCTTGCCGTAGAAGTCTGTGTGACAGCCTCTCAAAAAGTGATTATTATTGAAAGCAAATAACTGTTTTTTGAGCAGTTATTGGAGGATCCTAATCTAAATACAATTTCAACCAGTGTTGATAAGATGATGGAAACTGGTAATGGATATAAAACCTTTCACCCTTTGAGTCGTACTTATTAGTGTAACCTACAACACCTGAAAGCTGCTCATATGATATGCAAGAGCCTGCTGCATTTCAGTTCCTTCATAATTAGTGCTTCTAGCAGAGATGATGACTTTCTGGATATTGTAAAGGGGGCCTGACCATTACTTTTTATCTTTTCTGCAGGCGAATAAATGTAGGAACTCGCTTTCAAGCAGAAATCCCATCACTCCAAGACAGATCTCTGGCAGCAGTTGATGAACATAAAGCAGAGCTGGTGTGGCAGCCGTGGGGCGACCTGGAAACCAACAAAGTCACCCAAGAGAATGGTAAGAATATGAAAGGCTGGTAAATAGGACTGAATTGTCACAGTTCTTGTAGAGGTAACCACATATCTACTGTAGGCACAATTTAAAATCTCTCAGAGCTGCCAGTCAATGACATGTTTGAGTGGTCTTGAAAACTGTCTTAGGAGTAAAACTTGTTTATCAGGTTGTGTGTGGCAGGGGGGATATTGATAGAATTGGTTTTTTAATTGGTATAAAATGGGACCATTTGTTACTGGTCAGGCAAAGCGCAGCCTTTTGCTCAGTGAAGCTTCCTTGTCTTTGTTAACATTTGAATGCCATGTGCACTTCTGTATTTTCAAGGGATGTTCTAGACATAACAGTATTTTGAAAGAATCGAGTTGTAGATGGAAGTCAGGATGAGGAAGCCAGAGTTGTGGCAGCTAGTAGCAAACATGCACTAACAGCAGACAGCTCCCCAGGGGTTGTGGCATGTATAAATCCTGAAGGGAAGAGGAAGTTGGCAGGTTTGGAATAAATGTTTCTGAGAGAGAAAAAAGGATATTGTGAAATAGAAATTCACGATATAAAGGGGGATTAAGGAAACCTCTGAGTTGAAGGGAGATGAAGACATTATAGGAGGGAGGAGATGTGCAAGAAATTCCATGTATAAATAGTGCTGCATGCAGAGTAATGCCACATGACCTTGCAGTCTAATGAGTTCTTGTATCCAAATTTGACCCAGATAAATTTGCAAGGACGTTAAACTTATCTGAGGGTTTTAAGTTTGTTATGTCTAGCCCCTGCTTCAAGAGGGCTGGACATGACTGATGATGTGAATCCTATAGGAAACTCCATTTTAATCTTCTTATCTGAATTTGTTTGGTACCTCTGTGGAAATAGTGGAAAACCTGCTGGCTGCTGCCTGTTCAAGCATTTTTCCTGGGGCTGGAACCAACCAGGAGCTGGCGCTGCATTTCTTACATGAAGCAAAGGGAAGCATTCTGGTGAGTCTGCCCAGCTTTTCACCTTGATGTGGTCAAATATATTAATGAAGGCCAGGTAACCTGTCATTCGTGAGAGGAGAGCCTTGCAAACTCCTTCCTATGCATCCGGCTCCTGCTCTTTAGTGTCCCTTGGATGTCCCTAAAGTGGGTTCTGCCTGATGTACAGTGCCATGCTTGCTTACTGTTTTGCATATTTCCAACTTTGATGTGTTTGGCTTTTTAGCAAACAGATCGACAGTTTACCAGGGCAAGTGAGCTGAGACTGCTAAATGAATCTTAAATGTTGTCTTCCTGGGAAAATGACCATGTTGGAAGGAAAAATAAGCTGGAGCTGAAGCTGAGATACAAAGTGTAGCGCCTTGCTCCTCTTACTTTTGGCAGGTCCATTTAACTTCTCTGTGCATGTTTATAGAACGGCTGTGCTGCTAACTTTCTGTCAGTATTCTAAGACATGAAACCCTTTCATAAATGCCCTTTGACACCCCTGGGAGGTAATATCAAAGAGCAGGACATTGCATACAGCGCAGGCTTGTCATCCTTTTATAGTTTTATGATTGATTTAATGTGGCATAAATTAGCCCTGTGGTCAGGAGCATTCTACACTTTTGCCTGACTGCTTGTTTCCTGTCCCCTGTAATGGGCTAGCACTGACACTTGTGAGACTATATTGACCTGCATTGAAGAAGAGAACAATAAAAAGTGATTTGTGTGTGTATGTGGTAGGTTTCTGCTAGGTAAGTTCCCAGAACTAGCCCACCATTGTGAATGTTGTTGCTGGCATTAGGGAGGAACAGGACTGCCCCTGGCAGCAAGAGCTCCCTGTTAAGGTGGTTTAAACTGCTAATGGTAGCCTGACTCCATTCTCTTCTTCCTGCTAATTTTGAAAGCACTTCCAGTTAAAATGCAAGTAAAAAGCATCTTGAAAGGTCTTTTTTTGTGTGGATTCTTTCAGTCACGTGACTGCTCTATTTTATTTTGCAATATTGCTTAGTTAAGTGAGATAAGATCACAATGACTTGAATGTTTAAGACATCATTTAGGGCAGCATTTTTGGATGTGAGCATGTAACTTAGGCCTTCAGAAAATTAGAGGAAACTGCTGCAGAGTCTCTGTCTATGGATTTAATTCTCTTCCAATACTGCTGTGCTTGCATTGGAAAGCGTCAATTCACAGAGACATAAGGAGATGCCAAGAGCTTACCACTTGCCTGTGGTACCTGAGACTCAGTGGATAGTCAGGAATATGTTTTTTAAAGTTGTCCCAAATGTTAAACTGTGCTACAGTTCTTTTCAGTTAGCTTGCCAGAAAGGAGAGGGTTAACAATTGCCTGATCTTTGTTTTAAATACCCCAAATGTTAAATGAGTTATTTTATTTGTGTTTATCTTAGGGAGCTTTGACCAAACTACTACTGAAGAGGCCGGTACGATCGCCTACCCACCCTTTGGCAGATTATCACTACACAGGTTTGTTAACCAGAATAACTCTGTGCTGCCTGTCTATCACAAAGGAATTATTCTATACTTTTCTGCTCTTTTGGGCAACTCTGTAACATTACAGTAAGATTAAAAGATCACTCTTCTCTTTGGTAAACCAAATAATGGCTTGCCAGGAATTTTGCCTGTTCAAATTATGACACTTCTATAACGTAAGAAACACTGAATGTCTCAGAATATGTGCGTGCGTGTATTTGCATGTGTGTGTTTGTTCTGATTTCCTTTATGGGGAAAAGGGCATGTGATCCCTTACACTAAGCCACAGAGAATGCAGAAAGATAGCTGGTGTGTCCAAGAAAGGCTGTGGTAACCTCAGAACCACAGCTTCTCTGGCATGAATTTCCAGGGTGGAGTTAAGGGGGGGCGGTTTATGGGAAGAGTTTTCAAGCTTGACGAAGAAAGCTCAGCCAACTATCGATGCCTGTCAAAAGTTTTGCAAAATTTGAATGCTGTAAACTGCCTTTGTAGTCTTGTACCTAATTAGAAAATAGTCAGCCGTGTGACAGTTGGCTCAGTGATCTAGAGTAACCCTAGCCACCTGAAAGACCTGACGTAAGGTGGTAGAGACACATCTAATAGCTGGCACCACAAAGCATAGAAATTACATTTCTTCATTATTACACACTCCTGCTATAACGTTTGGGAAATATTATTTGAGTAATATCTGTCAGGCAGGAGGAGATTCCAAAATGTGTTTATTATTAGTGGCAAGGGTGCTAGGATAGTAGGAATGTTTGAGATGTAATAAGTCTTCAGGTATAGTGGATTGCTGCTGAAAAATAAAATGTAATGGCTGGGCCACCACAGAGTGTGTCCGTTCACCTTGCTGTTTTGCTGGAAAACATTTTGGTTCCTTTAATCAACTGGTTTTTGCAAGCTGAAGTGAGTTAGCCTGTGGTGATGAGTACGAAATTTAACACAAAGGAGGTAATGAGAGGAGGGCTCAGGTGGAGCAGTAGGGATGGGGTTAACAGCAGTCTGCAGTTACGCTGCCTCAGGTGTGATGGGAGACTGCACCCTTGGATGTGTGTATTCATCTTACTTAAGGTGAACATGAAGAAAAAGTAGAAGACATTTGAAATTGCGAGGGTTTCCCTTACAACTTTTTTTTTTTCTACAGGATCAGACAAGTGGAAAGTTGCTGAAAAAAAACTTTTCAACAAAGGCATTGCAATCTACAAGAAAGACTTTTTCTTGGTCCAAAAGCTTGTAAGTTACTTTTTTTTTTTAATGACAGAAATGATACATTCTTACATGTTTGTTGAACATTTAATACAGGGAGTTCAATCCTGATGTTTCTGAAATGTCGGTATTAAGCATTATGCAAGTCCTGCACTCAAAAGATTTCAGAGAAATTTTACCATCCAGCACAGCATAAAACCTCACTAGAAAGCTACAACAAGAGTGTTTGTTTTGCTGTTGTTGTGTACTTAACTCTTGTACTTACCGCATTACTTCTATTAGTCCACACTGCAGATATCACTTATACAGGGTGTATTTATAGAGAGCTGGTAATGTTCCAGTATGGCTTAAATGGCTTGCTTATAAAACTAAATAGAAACACATCCTTGCTACTGATGAAAAGGACCAAAGAAGGGTATGTGAATGAATGATGCATCCTTTAGGATCTTTCTTTCCAGTTTTCTGTGACAGTGATAATAAAAGTGATCATTCCCATCTATTTTCATGAGGGGCGACGCTTCAGTGGGGGGGAAAATCACTGAAGGAGAGTGCAAAACCAGGAGCTGCATACGTATTTACCAAATAAATTTCCAAAAGGCATTTAAGTTGCAAAACACCAGAAGCTAAGAATATATTTCAAAAACTTCAAAAAAAATCACTGATAGAGAATATGTAGACAGTCACGGGTCTGTACTGATAATTGCCTGCCACCATATGTGTATGAAATGCATGTGGCCGAAATGGGAAAGGGCTGCAAACCTTCTTTTCCATTTTTGGATCGGTATTCTGGTCTGGTCTTCTCTGAAGTGCTTCTTGAAAATAAAGCTCCCCCATAAAACTGAAAGGCTGCTCTTAAGCCTGACAGCTCAGTTGGAACATTTTGGAGGCTAAGATGTGCATTAAGCTTACTAAGTGCCCGGTTCTGTCACCTTTACATTGAGCAGGTTTTCTTTGGAAAGTTGGTCCTGTAGTTCTCAGTGAATCACAGTGTGGCAGTAGGGGATGGGGTGGGACATACAGGTGGCCATGACACAGGAAAGGCGGCTTTAGCAGCAGTTGTGGTACAATGGAGACTACTGAGGAAAGAAAATACAAAGTGTATTTCTTGCACCTTTATTAATTGTTTATAAGCCTTCTTAAAATCATGTAATCCATTGGACTTTTTATGTATTTTAAATACTAGATAAAAACCAAAACAGTGGCTCAGTGTGTGGAATTCTACTACACATACAAGAAACAGGTGAAAATTGGTCGGAATGGGACCTTAATCTTTGGAGACATTGATGTTGCTAATGAGAAATCTATGAAAGATGAAGCTGAAGTTGACATCAAGGTAATGACCTAGATTTCTCTCACCTCTTGTGGGCTGTGGTGTGAAGTCTGATTTTGTGTGTTGTCTCATTTGCTGGTAAAATCAAAAGCATAAACAATCTGCTGTGAGTCCAGACTCACATGTCCTGTGTCACATAATGACATTTACTTACAGACACCAAAATTAACAGTTACTTTATCTTCTGGTGAAGAGTTCCCATAGGTTTGCACGTGTTCTTCCTCTCAGAAGGGACATTTACAGTGAAGAACAGGGTCATATGGAGGAGGAGGAGGAGGAGGAAGAGGAGGAGGCAGAGGAAGGGTTGGATAACAGAAAGAAGAGCTCAGTTCCTCTTAAAGATGAACAGACACTACAAGATGGTGTAACAGTAAGTGCTGCATTGTGCATGCTGTGCTTTCTATGTCCCCTTCACTCTGCAACTGGTTTAGAAAACACCAGGTGTGCACAGTTCCGGATGTAAAACGGTTCCACCTCTAACTTCTCCCAGAGCCAAGAGACTGGGCTGAGGTAGCTTAGAGTATTACTGGCAGCCAGACTGTGTGCTGTGGTGGGAGAACTGGGATGATGAGTAAGGGGGAAAAAAAAAAAAAAGCAATATCCTTCTTTTTGTGATTGGTGCACACATAGGACCATGACAAGAAATGTCCTGAAAATATCCTGAAGACTTTCTCATTAAGTTAAAACCTTGGTCTGGAATAAATGAAGCACAGGAGCTCAGCTGTTGTTTTCTTTCTGATGGTGAGTTTAATTTTCAGTTTCCCTTAACTGTTCCCCTCTCTCCAAAGGACGATGATGACAATATGAGGAGTCAGGAGGCAACTGTCACGGGCAGAATTGGAAGGAAGCCACGGGAGGCAACAGTGAAGCCTCGAAAGCCTATAACGGCTCCAGTGCAGAGGAGGCGGCGGAAACAGAAGATAAAATCAGATGCTAGCAGTAAAACTCCGAACACAGAAAACACATTTCCATGTAAAAAATGTGGCAGGTAAGAGCAACTCCACTTGCAGCAATAGTCCCAGAATTGCAGCAGGGCATCTCCTGTGGAAGCTTATTCTCAAATGAGCTTTCCTTCTGTCTGTTTAGGCCAGAGACACTGGCAATAATTTTAACAACTTATTACCCCACTAATACTCGATTACGGATTTTTACATATATTGATATTAAGATACTAGTACTTGGATAACTACCTGCTGACTGTTTTCCCTCAAATGGAATGAGACACCACCTGCATTTCAGCTCTGTGCTGTATTTGGTGTCAAGTTGCACTTTCAAACAGCTGCTGTATTGCTCCTCTGTAATGCCTACACTTTTGTAACGAATATTTTTTATGTATTTGGTAGATCACATATGAGGAACATCATATAGAATTATGCTACAGCAGTAGATATTAGCCCAGTTCATCTGGTTAAACTTGCACGCATCTTCTGCATCTAAAATACGCTTGTCTTTCCTCACACAATTCTAATACTTTTTGCAGGTTTGTTACCACCGGTTTCATAAATGTCAAGAAAATTCAGTTCCCTACAAAAATCGCTTACTCTTAAAACAGCAGAGGGTCTTGTAATACCAGTGGGGATCCCTTTATTTTAAAAAGACAGTAATCTAGGGGATGGCAAGAAAATGCAATCTCTGTCTCGTTACATCACATGGGGTGAGTCAGGAGGAAAAAGCTCAAGTGTTTCTAGCTGTGTGGACAAGGCTCAGGAGTGACATTTGCCTGTTTTTCACCTCCGTGTTTACTGTATTTTTGCAGCATAGGGGGAATGCCTAAAAACCAGGGCCCTGTCGTGTTAAGCAGCGTGTGCGTGTTTCAGATACCAGCGCTGCCCCTCTGAATTTAGAAAATTGAGGAGCTGAATGAGAGATAAGAGGAAATGGCCATGTTAAGAAACAAAGCAAAGTGGTTTGAGGGTGCTCAGGATCTCCTGCCAGCATCCCACCTAGTGCTGGCACACGCCGCATCTGAAGTGGTGTTTGCTGTAGGTGCTGCATCGCAGTGCCAGCGTGAGCTCCTGGGCTGAAGCTCACAAACCACAGGCTGGAGCAGCAGAAGCTCTTTTGGAGGATTAATGAAGGAGGCTGTAGGAGAGACCAGTGCTAAACATACACGTGTGCTTCCTCAGGGTGTTCTACAAGGTGAAGAGCCGCAGCGCTCACATGAAGAGCCACGCGGAGCAGGAAAAGAAGGCAGCTGCACTGAGGCAGCAAGAGAAGGAGGCGGCAGCAGCGGTGGCGGCGGCGGCAGCCCACAGCCAGGCCCAGCAGGAAGAGAGCAGCGAGAGTGGGAGCAGCAGCAGTGGAAGCAGCAGCGTGAGCTCGGATGAAGATGGAGAAATATAGCAGCAGACCAGAAGTGGAGGGAGTAGCAAGGCTGGACCCAACCTCCCTCTTGGTGGTCTCGCTTTTTTTGCTTGCACTTTTCTTACCTGAACCATCAGGTCTCAGTTTCAGTGCTGCCGTTTCCTCATGCCACATGTTCCACTTCACCTTGCCAGTACTGACCAAGCCGGAATGGTGGATGAAAAGATTTGTTTCAAGTTGGATTTTTTTTTTTTTTAAACAGATAAGATTTCTATTCTATTTATAATGATACCTGAGGTACATAATAGAACAATGTCACCTGCAGTGGAAATAAGTTCTCTCTCAGGTCAGTCAGACCTTTCTTTTTGTACTTGTCAGGAATCATAACAGGACTCTTGGATATAAAGGTTTCCAGATCAGAGCAAGAAAATGATGCTCTGCTCTGAGCTAATTGTATCCAGTTACTGTGACACTGGTGATTTCTAGATGTTTCCTTTCTCAGCAAGTTCTCCTTCCTGTTACACTTTCCTGGCTTGCTTCCTGAGCATTTATTCAGGCAGCCAACAAGTTTTGTGGGAAGATGGTGTGCACTTTTGTCCTCTGCTTCACAAAAATGAAAAGTGGGATGAACAAGACACTCCTCTTCCTTTTGAGAGGAAGTTTTATTTTTCAGAAGGAAGCCTGATGTGCTTTCTTTTATGCCATTAAGAATGCAGCAATGGATATAAACATATCCTGTGAGATTAGAGTAGCTGTGGGCCTTGTGGCTTGTCTCATCTTGGAAAACAAAATAGTCTGCCTTTGATTAACTTAATGGAAAGTAGTCTGGGCTTCACAAGTGCAATTTGAAATGAAAACTGCTGGCTTTGACTTTGCATAAATGGGAGCAAGTTTGTTTAGTGAAAATGAACCATGACCTTCTTAGGCGCTGGATTGTGTGCACCTCAGAGATGGGAGGAATGAACTCTCATCTCCAGCAGTGACCCCTCTGTGAATGGCTTTTACCTCTCTACACATCCATTTCTTTTTTTGTGGCAGTCCTCATTTCTTCCTTGAAATTGCCATCATCAGGAGCTTGTATGGTGGGGCCCCAGTTTCCCAAATACTTCCCGTCAGACAGTATGTACGTGCGGGAGAAGCTTGCCACTTATTTCCACACCAGTGGCTGGACAGCACTGCCTGTTGGGTTGTCCTGCTGTGAGCCTTGCTCTTTGCTGAGAGGCTGACTCTTCCTTCAGAACTGACACATGCTAATAGCCCAAAAAGTCTAGCCACCCAAAGCCTGCTGGCAAAAGAAAGTTAATAAAAGTAAAGTGGTTCAGGTGACATAGGTGTCAGATTTGCACAGGATTGTTCTGTACATCTTTATAACCCACGTTTATCATTATTTCATAAAGATGCAGAGAATCAGATTGCTTCCTTGCGCTTCGGCTGGTCAGTCCCAGGCCGTGCCCAGCTGCCCCCTCCAGAAGCAGCGCTGACCCCCAGCTTCCTCGGTGCCGAAGGAGCCGGTCGCTCCTGCATTCCTGAGCAGGGATCCGGGGCGGGGGGGGGGTGGTGGTGTTGCTGCACGTGAGCTACAGAGTGTTCCTGACTAGCTGATTTTTCTAAAAAATCTTGACCTTTCAAGCTGCTAGGTAAATTCCAGGTTAGCTATGGAAAGTGGCACTATCTCCAGTGTGCCATCTGGCAATCTTTTCCTGCCCCGTGGCTTTACGCAACTGTGATTGCTTTACTCTCTTGAGTCTGGGAAGCTGTGTATTGTACCATGCTTGCTTTGACATATATATGCCTTTGGATAGAATCCTTTTTCTTAATAGCAGAAATGGTTCCTGCTCTTACAAAATAAGTACTGCACTCATTAAGGACTGCACTTTTTTCAGTGTTAACACTTTTGCCTTTAAATGTTCCATTTTCTGCCAAAGTTGTATTTTTCATTCCTAACAAAATTAGGTTTCCTTTCAGCATTTGGATGACTGTTCCGTGTCCCTACATGCACAGGTCTTGTTGACTAACTAGGCTGTGGAAGCAGATGGCATGTCATGAACTGTTAAAATCATTCAAAAACTGCAAAGAACTAAAAGCTACTAATCTTTAAAAAGAAGCTTAAGCAAGTCAGTCTTCCTATTAAGAGGTTCGATGTTGGTTGTTATCTTTTTCCTTTTGTAAACTGGAGAAAATGCTTGTCTGCTGTGATCCCAGGGTCTTTAGAGAGAACAGAAGCTTTAGCACACTGTGCCAGGACGGACAGTAGGTGAAGCAGCTGGACCTCATGGTCCACTTGTAGTACTGGCATTAATTCCAGTAAAAAGCAATGATGCAGTTAAACTTAAAGCTCTGAAGTATGTTTCTGGGAAGTGGCCAGTAGTTTCCAGATATTGAGAACTGCAGGGCAACAATTCAGAAACAAGCTAGGCTTGTGAGTATATCTAAAAAGGATTTAAAGTAATGTAGATACTATTATACTGTCATAATGAATGTATTTGCCTGGAACCCCAGTGTCGCAGCAGCAGAGCGGTGTGCAGTTACTCGACAGAGACTGGCAAGGCCTAGAAACACATTACGAAGAAATGGAGATGGAGGGGGAACTGGCACACATTGAGAAACATGGCAAAAATGAAGGGGTGTTTTAGGTTGGAGAGGAGATCTTACTAAACTTGAGAACTAAAATAAAGCGAATCAAGCTGTCTTAAGAAAATGCCTTTACGGTCCTTGCTAAGACAGGGCAAAAGCAGTCAGTATGTAACCCCTTAGGACAACACGGAGACTGTTCATATTGGAACAAACCAAAGCTCTGTCTAGCTCCAGGTCTTGTTTCTGACAACGATCAGGAACAGAAGCCTAGGAAAAAGCAAGGGACAGTATGGACTAGCAGGTAGAGTTCTAGGTAGAAATTAGGTGCTAAACTAGAACTTAGGTGTGCTCTCTGGTAAGGCAAATCTGCAGAGAGGTTTGTGCTGAAATGTACCGTTCTCCTTATGGGCAGCAAATTGGGACGTTTCTCTGCCTTTTACTCTTCTGCTCTGTGTATCACCTGCGGTTACTCCGTGTATTTTTAGTGTCTGGAAGTATGCCTGGGTGATAATGAGCAAACGTTTAGTCACGGCCCTCAGGAGTTTTCAAGCTTGAAGTAGTTTTAGATATGGCATAGCAAATTATGGTGACTAACAACTGATTGGATGAAATATGTACAAAGATTTAGGGAGCAAATCATGGGGTTGCTCTAAGTACCAATTCAATCTTTCTTTCCGATACGATGATGCTTGAACGCAGGCATTATTGTAGTCTTCCAAAGACCACATCTTTCACTGATTCTTCCTATTTTAGGAAATTGATATTAAGAGTAATTTTTCCTCTCATCAAGGATACACCATTGAGGTGCTGCTAAGAACAAATCAGAGATTTTCTTTAATTGCACAAAAATGGTGTGTATGTTACACACTGAATCCAGTACTTGTTGTTTCTCTCCCACCCTGTGAAGAGACCAGGAAGATTTGATACAGTAAGGCCTGTCACTGGAAGAAAATCAGAAAAGGGCTTTTTCTGAGGATAACCTCTAACAGCTGTGGGTTAGCATGGCTGACCAAAATCACGTAAATGTTCCAAGTAAGTGGCACCAAATGGAGATGTTTCTGAGTGTGTTTACATATTGCTAGCAGACACCAGAGGACCTCTTTTCTCTCATGCTAATAAGTGAAAATACTCCTTTGAGTGTCTTGTTTAAAAACAAACAAGCAAAACCAAGCCTGCTGCCCACTTGCTTACCATAGGAGTTCGGAATTAATCCTACATCTTAATTAGATCCTGCCTACTAGCAAAAGTTGGCAGAGAATTGTTTTAAAAAAAACAAACCAGCCAACCCCCAGCTGTTGTGGACAAAGCATTTGAACTGAATTTATCTAATCTGGAATGAATTCTGTTACTCTCCTTAGTGTGGGGGGAGGGAGTAATTTCAGCGGCCCTTTTACTGCAGCACAGTGTTAATTTAAGGCTGTGTTGTTCCAATTATGATTTTAAAAAAAAAATTGTCTGTGTTCTGTTCATTTGTCTGCTTTAAAACCCTATGCTCATTATTTTCCATCGTTTAAAGGCCTATTTACTGATTCCCATATAGAATAAGGGTTTGCTGTTAATTTAGAAAAAAGGCATTGTATGCTCAGTCATTGAGTTTGAACAAGGTGCCTCTTTGCTTTAGCTGTCTCTTCTATGGGAACAAATACAGGATTTATAGACTGCAATTCTGTAAATGTGTACTAATAGATTTGCCTTTCACAGTGCGAGATCAGGTTTCTGGTGATCACGTACCCAGTAGTCAGGTGGCTGCACTCCAAAACCATTCCCTATCTGAGCCTTGACGCCAGCGTTGGGCGTTGCGGAGATGCAGCGAGAGATCGCGCTTTGCCCTGATCACGTACTTCTGCCTGCTGCCTGCCCTTTACAGATAGACTCGGTCTGTCAGGTTTGTGATCTGCATGGGATAGCATCTCAGTTCTGTAAGACTCTGTGTGTGTACAATTATTAGATAGATGCATGCACTTGTGATGCATATCTGATACAGCTACAGGTGTTTTGCAGTCTAGCTGCAAGAGCAACAGCTGTGCTTTTTAATTTTGTTTTTTGTTTTTCCATTTACCGATACAGGTAACTATCTGAGAGAACTCAACTCTTAAGTTGAAGGCCTACAGGATTCCAATTGGCTGTGCAGGACTTTGGCGTTTTGTTAGCTAGGACCAGGTAGGAACGTAGCTGTTTAAAGGCAGGGCAAAGGAATTTGAAAGCTTAACGGTAACTCATCTATTAATGCCACACTAAACATGCAATGCGAAGTCCAAATTAGCTAAAAATACCCTCTGATTTATCAAACTGAGGCTTTCGGTCATTTTTATCATTGCAACAAGCTTAGATTGAAAGCAACATTCAAAAAAAGTGTTTCCTAAACCACAGAGTGAGCGCTCTCAGCAATTACACACTCTTAGTTCTCCTTCAGGCAGCGGACTAGTAAGTTCCTATACATGCATATCCTATTTTAAAAGAAATGGGAGCAGGGAGGACTGCAGCCATAGAAGTCTTGTCTGCTTTCATACAATGGCACTTTTAGTCCAGTGATTACCTCTGCCAGAAACCTTATCCCAAACCACATTTTCCCACACAAACTTTCTCCTTGATTTATCTTCTGATGTATGCCTGAAAGTTTATAAAGCTTTAAAGAGACAGAGAAGCAGTGTCTACAAATCATGTTTGATTTTTGTGGGGGTGAGTTTCTGTGTAGATTTGTCACTTGGGTTCAGCTGCTTTACTCGCCCTCATTCTCTCCTGTGTCAGATGTTGGGAAGACATACACTTCGAATCCCCAGCTGTCTAAAGATTTTTCTTTCCAAGACTAGGATTCCACTGGCAGCTGAGCCTGAAAAAAAAAACCTTAACTTCTCCAGATTAGAAAACAGCATATATTTTTATAGAAATGTAATTGTATATTTTAAAAACCAGTTTCATGCAGCTTCTCATGTATTTTTCCCCTGGTAGTTCAGATTTGATATAAACTTTTTTTGTGTTCATTCTTTTTATGTTCTGTTTTTAAATTTGTAGTCAAAGCTTTGGTGTACTGTACAGGAGCAGTCAGCCTTTGTAATTACTGTATAAATGCTTTATAATAAAGTATATTACTTTTATTTTAACAAGTGAGCAGACACTTCCTTTTGTGTGTTTGCTGCCTAGGGCACCTTTTAAAAGACTGTTACATGTTTAAAATGTACATATATAAATATATTTACCTGTTGCTGTACAGTTGTGATAGACTGGACTGAATTTATTTTTTGTGTGCTTTTTTATAAAATATTAATACACTAAAGGAAATCTTGCTGATGTGATTGTAATGTACTATGTAACTTATTTACTTAATATCCTCTATATATCTAAAAACCTTTTATTAAATGAGGTTTAAAAAATAGTTTCATAGCTGAGTGTTTTGATGGTATTAGGGGAGTGGCTGGGAGGTCCGGGGCGATAGTGACTGTGATGCATTTGTGCAGAGGAAGCGGTTTGTTAGCTCCTCTGCTTTCTCAACATGCCCACCTCTGTATTTTCCATTTCGAGGCTGTTTCTCAGTGTAAACTTCTCCCTGAGGACACCAGCCCACGGTGTGTTTTACGTCTTACATCCAATAAAATAACGGGCAGATGCAGCTCCAGCTGCTCTACAGGAGTGTTGATGGTGTGTGTGCCCCGCTCCAAGCCGAGCACCTTCCCAGAACGCCAGCAACAACCCTGACAGCGTGTTAGAAATTCCTGGGGCATGGTTCTGGGTCCGCTGGGCTGTAAGGCAGGCCAGCTGGATTCTGACACCACCTCAGACGCCTCCAAAGAGAGCGGGCAGAGCAACGGCAACGTGGAGTAACTTGGTACCAGAGGGGCCTGCATCAGATCTGAGCTCCTGGATGGCTGCGGCTGCCACAGAAGGTAGAGGCTGAAGTAGATCTAGAGCTGCTGGAAAAAGAGTTAACATCTTCCTGCTGCTTAGGAGTTGAAGCTGCTGGTTGTAGAAACAATGATGCCAGTTGTAAATCACCTTGCATCAGATTTTTCAGTGGTAGAGTTTAAAAAATGTTTTAGTAAATACTGTCTTACAGGCTCTTGTCTGTTACCTGAATCTGAGGGGTGATTTAAACATTTTTTTGTTAGACAGCACTAATCGCATTTCCTCTGGCAGCAGCTGGATCTCTCGCTGTGGATTTTAAATATTAATTCAGTTCCATCCATCCTCAGAACAAATGTTCTTCTGTTTTGGTAGTTAAACTGGTTTTAGTTAACTAGGCCACGCGGGTGTTTCTCACACCTGTGGACACTATGAAGTCTTTAAAAGCTGCAAATGTTTCCCTACATAAAGCAGCAGATGGTAGAAAGGTGTATTGGTGACTGGCCTAGATTTCAGGTTAGAATTGAAGGCAGCACACTTGTTTTTATTTTAGTTGTTAATTTATGCTGACAAATTTTTGCATTTCAGTATTCTTGCAAAGCTGGCAGGAGAAAGACTCAGACCAAGACATTAAAAAGCTCTTTTCTTCAGCTTTAATTTACTCCTGTGGATGTGGCTGTCGATCGGCAATAGCATCTGGAGAAGTAAGTGGTGTTTTGCTTGGGGGGCAAAAGAGACTGGTAACGCTGAAGCCTTCGCTTCAGACAGCAGGCAAGACTTTGTTTAAGGCTTTAAATAATGTATTTGCCTCCCTGTCAAAGCCAATAGGCAAAAAGTGCGAAAGGTTGACTACGATGTACTAAAACTGTGAAGCCATGCAAACTGGATGATCAAAAAAGCCACAAGTTTTGGGCATTTTGGTTTTCATCTTTTTTTTTTTTTTTAATTGGTGGATCCAAGCCCAAGCACTTCTGGAAGTTATTTCAGCTACCACAGGTGACATAGGCATTTTAGTGATCAGTAAGCCTTGAGTGAATGGCATTGTGAGGAATTCTGCAGTAATTTCCTCTATGCTTTTTAGGTAGCATTACAACCATCATTGAAGGATGCTGCTCTTGTCATTAGTGAGACCAACTCCTGTGGACTGTGAGGTAGAAAGATTTTTCTTTATATCTGAGTTTTGAAATTACGCTTCAGTGACACGGTCTTTTGAAGTTTCTATTACAGAAGTTCCACTAATCAGTTAACCCACCCTTGTCTGGGATTAATGCAATTGATAGTATACTGTTGTTAACAGAACTGACGTTCAAAGTGAGTTAGTAATTTTGTACTAAAGAAAGACTAGCCATTTATTTAACTTGGACTTTTTTTCCCCATGTAGCTGCAGTAGACTTTTCAGACCTAAGAACAAAGTCTGACAACCAATGTCTTAAAAGACTGAAAAATATTTATGTATCAGATGACAACAATCACAATATATCAGCATTTTTAAAGTCTAAGTTATTTTCTGTTCTAAAATAGAGGCAATACGGAACAGCATTTACATACTATAAATACATTGCTCCCTGAGCAGCTAGGAAAGTTTAATGAGAACAAAATTTAATTTCTGAACGCTCTCCACAAGCTGAACTATTTCATTACACAACAGCCAAAGACGTTTGTATAAAATAATGTTATATTATTTTTAAACAAGTTTCACGAATTAACATTTATAAACATGGCCTAAATAATTTAAACACAGCAAACTTAACAGCTGGGTCACGCTACAAAATTACTGTATACAAAAGGTAGCCAAAGGGGATGTTAAAAGTGCTCTCTTGCTTGAAGATTTTTCTAGATGAGTTTACTTCTAGTGTAACCTGAGTCATCTGCTGGTTCTCAGGTCTCTTCTCACATTTTTCCAGAAGTTCTTAATATAATCACTGCATACATCAGCTCTTTGAAGAGGTCAGTGTGCTAACAAGTAAGTAAAAAAACCTAGCTATTTCCTATCATTAACTTAATTTTAGGATATCTCTCTAAGGAATAAAGTGGATGCTAATCCTCCATAATTTCACTGGGAAAAGCAGAATTCCACATGGCTTGCAAGTTTTACATGGGTGCTCTTTTCATCCATGAATAATAATGTGCTTACTACTTTGTTGGATGTGGTGTGATAGGCAAGAGCAAAGGGTAACAAAGACAAGCCTTTCAACCTTTTCCTCAGCCGCTCCCCGGGGGCGTGCCGGCCGAGTTTTGCTGTGAGCTTACACGTGATGTGGTGCAGCACCACTGATACGCAAATCAGCTGCTTTAATTCTACCACCTGTCTATGTCTTCCACCACATCCAGTGCATAATTTTAAAGTGCAAATTTTAGAATTCAGGAAAACTTTACTTATGTTAGAGGAGAAAAAGTTGGGGGCAGGTTGATTTGTCCTTGAGACTAATCATAATTCACCAGGCAAAGCAAGATTAACATGAACCTTCCACCCAGCTTTGAGCTGAAGTATCTCCTGACAAATGAGAGCCACAGTTTATTCTTTCTTACTCTATTGTTTCACAGAGATTGACACACAGTTTTTATCAGAAGGGTTTAAAATTATATGCTAATTTATCACAGGATGAAGGGTGAAAGGCAAGGGAAATCTTGTAAGTGTCCTTTACTCTGTTATAATTGTGCTGAGACTGGATGCTTTGTTCCTTCAAGAATTAATTTCTCTTTTTTTTCCCTTTTTTGGTGATAATTATAAAGCAGCCCCCCAAAAAAGAGCTAAAGAATTTGTGCCGTTTAATCTGTGAAAAGAGCTGATGGCAGTGGGGCACGCAATACCCACAGCCCTACCGAAACCCACACCAGTTCTTGGCCTGAGTCCCATCGGTACAGCCTGAACGGGTCACTGACAAGAGCCAGGAGCTGCTCCTATCCCTGATGTCTTGTCAATGGAGCTGTGCTTTGTCCCAGTCATCACCACCTAGTCGGAACACTTAAGTTTCTGTTCTGCTCTCAGAATGTCCTAAAATAGCTAAAGCATAGAATATTTGCTGTGTCTAACACAACCTTCAGAATTGTACACTTAGACCAATTTTAGATATTAAAAACCGAACCAGCAGGCTTACTTGGCACTGGACTGTGCTCTCATGGCTCCCTTTCCCCTGCGGCATTTCAGCTGAGGAGCCAGCCTGGCCCTACGTACCGTAGTTGTAGCTGCTGTGCTAGGAGAGACCAGCTGCTGAGGGTCAAACACTTTTCTTTGCAGCCGAGTGCCAGGACAAGAGCACTGCATGGTCTATTCCGAAAATGTCTCCAAACACACAGATGCATTTGGCTTTTCCAGCTGTTGGTAGTATTCAGAAGTCAAGTTTTGCTCCACTCGAGCTCTGGCTTGCATTAGCCACACTTTAATTACAGTCGCTAAGGGCACAAGCCAGTCCCCCTCTTGCCCCACCACGGCAGCTCCGTAGTGCTGAGGCACAGCCGCTTTGCTGCGTGGACAGAAGGGCTTAGGTTTAGAAGAAGCCGGTATGAAATAGCTGTTGACTAGATACCCTCTCTCCCATCGTGCTTCTTGGTCAGCGGTGCCTTTTCTCATGTTAGAGCTAGGAGAATAATTCTAAAAAAAATTACATACGAATAGAAGGTTGTCCAAGATAAATCCAGCGAGCTAGTTAACTAAGAAACTGCTGTCGGGTCGAGAACAGCTGCCTGGAAGTAGCTTGTGCTAGGTGAAGAATGTCCACAGTTTTTGCCATTGCTCTCTTGACCTTATGTTAAGTAACTGACTTAAATCAAACTCAAGCCTTATCAGCAATTGCCAATTTAAGTTGGAATGCCTAAGAATTTCTCTAACAATCATAGAATAACTAGCAATATATTGAAACTAAACTCTGATTGTCTCGTAATCTTCTACTTCACCCTGTTCAGTTAGAAATTTATTAGAGAGATAATATCTTCTACTACAACTCTACCTGGAGCTTGAGATCAACAGCACTGTTGCCTGGGCCAATTCTACCTTTTTATCTCTGACCATGACTTCCAAGATTTCAACTCCTGCCACACCTTCACAAACAAAATAATTAAGAGTGGCATTCTGCCTGCATCCCTTCTATGCCTGGTCTGGAACCAGTGGGTACACTTATCACCTTTTGAACTTAAACAAAGATGGTGCCACGAATTAGAAGAAAAGCTTCTAAAGAAACAAAACAGAGCTGCAGAAAAATCTCCTCAGGTGACTCGATCTATTCTCTAAAGAGAAGAAGAAAAAAACCCACTACTGTCATCCAACAGTGCAATCAGGTAAGTCTTCATCATTGCTTAATGCTTGTCCTAAAAATAGTTACCTGTCACATAAGGGGGCTTTACTAAAACTGGTCACCCTGCAATACAGCACATCTAATACACCTTCAATACTTTATTTTCCAGTGTCCACTTTCCATCTCATCTCACCTTCCCCACTAACTACATACGCTTTCTCTCACTGCTTACATCTGTGCTTTCATATAAAATGAGTATCCCCCCAAACCAAAATTTTTTGTCCTCAAGCCCAGGTCTTTTCTTCACTGTTTGTTTCTGTATTAGTATCAGCCTACTTAGTTATAGGAAAGTTCCAGAGCTGAGAAGGATTATGTCCACCAGTGACCCAAACCAAAACTAGGAACCAGCTGTAGGCTAACAGGCCACATAGTCCAATCTAAAATAATTTCTTAGTAAGAGACAAAAAAACAAAAAACTAGCAGATATTTAGTCTCACTGAAACCATGCAAAGAATTCCCATTGCCTCTTTAAAATAAATAAATATATGTTACACATGGCCTTCTAAGCAATGCAGTTGAGTTCCAACGCGAGAAGCCCAATTCAAAACTTAAGGCCAGTAACAAGTGATGATCTAACCAATACCTTTTTTGTGCGTAGGTCCACAACTACTGGGCCTGTTTGGCATAACAGTTAAGGGGATGAAAAGGCAAACTCACATATTTAAAATACTGAGGGATTCCCATGACAAAATTAAACACAACAAAGCCTGTAATGTGTCTCTAAATCACAACGTTGTTCTTTTGGCCTCAGTGTTTCCAATTATAATGTTGGCCAGCTGCACCTAACAAGCTAAAATGGTTGTATTTTAACCCAAGAGTGAACAACAAGCACCACTAATCAGAGATTAAAAATAGCTATGTATTAGTTTAGGTAAAGATCTCTTGCTAGTCAAACAGCAGATAGATTCAGTTCCACTGGTCCGCTACAGAAGGTGTCATAAGCTTGACAAAATTGGTATGCCCAAATTTTGGTAGCTACCTCTTTGGGTGAGAGACTGTGGCAATAAGCTGGTCTTTTAAAAATCGCCCGAAGATTTTCTTCAAAACAGACATTTTATATAAAAGTTCTATGTTCCGAGCTATCTGGAGTTACTTAAATAATTAAATACCCAACAAGAAAGTGGCATCAGTTTGCTGTTTCTTCATCTTCTTCTTGTTTAATAACTAGGATACCTGAGAGAAAAGAAGAGAGAAAAAAAAAAAAAAAAAACATCTGCAAAGATTTATGAATAGATTATGCAGAGAAAGATACAGTTAATGCTGATACACCTGAAAGCTAATCTGGACTGCCAAAAAGAGTCGGACTGGCAAAAAGAGGGAAGAGTTGTATTTCCTGCCACTGCTTCTAACTGACCTGAATGGCTCTTAACCAGAAAAGCCTTCAACTGATGAGATCTTCTGTTGGATGTTTTTCCAACTTCTCAGGTAACAGAGAATAGAAAAGGTACTAAAGCAGGACCTGCACAGATGAAGCCTCACTTGGTCATTGGGAGATGCACCATGTTGGTTCAACTGCTAACCACCAACTGGCATGTCACCCTTCTCTTGTTGGGCTCCTGCTTTGTGCTGCTATTTCCACAACATCCATGACCAAGCCAGTATGGGATACCTCCTCACTGATACTTAACTAGGATGTCCAGACTACAAAATATATTAGTGTGGATCCAAGAAGAAATATGATCACATCTCTTAGGGATAACTTGGATATTGTGGAATAAAGCTGCATTGCACAGCAGTGTCATAGTCTATACCCACCCCTTGGGTACTTTTTAAAAAAATCACTTTTTAACTGCCATGTTGAGCAAAGGCACTTCAGATTGTGGCAGTCTGCAAGGTTCATACCACCTCACAGTGATAGGTTCAGGAATTTAAAATAAGCTGAAATGCTAACAGCCCTCCAAAAGATTTATCAAGTTATACATTTTCACCACTGCAGTAAAACCCAATAGTACATGTAAACTCACAACATGCTGAAAGAGCACACTCAAAAACATGCCCAAATAATGAGTACAACAACAGCAGGGCCTGAGGGTGCATGTCCATTCACCTGCGCTGTCCCCTGGGTATTGGCAGCTGGGTCATACCCATGCTTTGCTCAGCTTGAGACAGACCTGAACTACGGTGAGGCTTTGTGGTGAGGGCCCGTTCCTTACTGTAAGATTGGGGTGCTATGTTTCTTTTTTCACAGGTAGGAAACGGAAAATAAATCCACCAGAGCCTGGTTTCTGTTGTGCTTTAGGCACCTAACTGCTGGCCAGGGTTCCTGGCACAGGAACTAACAGAAAGCAGACATCCACCTGCTGAAAGAGACCTTCAATGCTTATTTTTGTCCAGAACATCTTCAACCATTTCAATAATTAGTCATCTCACATATAGTACATAAGCACAACAGGGTAAATCTGAAGAGAGGAGGGAGGAATATTCATTAAATGGGCGCACAGATGAATTTCAGAGGTTACAATTCATTTCCCTGTAGTTGTCTTTATATTAAGCTAACTCACACCAATTGCCTCATGCCCCAAACTCACCATCCAGCTTTTTCAGCATGGGTACCCGTTTGGTTGCTTCTTCAATCCAATTGTTCTTCTGATCAGAGGCGTATTTCTCTTGTAGTGGATTGCCTACAAACACCAGATCCTCTAGTAATGGCAGCTCTGCCAGTCTCACAAACTCTGCTGCAACCACAAAGGTGAAAACACCAACCAGATTGTGGAACGTGGAAGAGACATCTGCACCACATGCTCCTTTCAAACTCAGTGCAAACATAAACAGCATGAAATACAACAGGATAGGGATTGCTTGGGCTTGAACTGCTATCAAGCTGAAGAGCAGGTATGCATTTTAAAAGAAGTCCGAGAAAGATGATTCAAAGAACAAACTCCACTGGACTTAGAAGTTAAATTCAATATTCTAACTGTTTTTACTCTCTTGCAGGAGTGGATATTTAGGGATTCTGCAGGCTTATCAGTGAGACTTAAAGCCCTGTGACACACAGGACTGTTTTTCACTTGGTGACTTAACTCATGCATTCACCAGACTAGAGGAGAAGTTACAGAATAGGGAGTCATGGCTTACCCCAGTCTTTCACCAAATTATTTGACATATAAAGAACCTTCAGCTTCTTCATTACACGGATACCCCTCAGTTTCTCAATGAAGTTGTATGAGATCCACAGCTCCTCTAAAGTATCTGCAACTGCCTCCTGGAAAATGACAGGACTGCTCAGGTAAGCAGAAGTATATCTTCCTTATTCTTCAGATTCTCTCCTCCCCCCTACAGCTCACCTCATGTGAGAAAATACTAAGGTACATTGGTCCTCAGTTCCTTTTAAGTAGGTCCCTAATTATGCATGACAAATATTCATGGGAATTAAGAGCAAAGGATCTGAAATATATTTAGGAGGACAGAAATCACAATATTAGAATAAGACAAGGAATAGCTGGCTGGAGTAGTTGCTCTTAAGGCATAGGAGACAAATTTGGCTGCTTGTGTACTGCAGGTATACAGGAAGCAAATGCAATTCTGCAACTACTTCAGAAGGGGTTTTATAAAATATGAGGGAATGATTCATTTCAGGTGCATGTATGTTTGTACCTGTTGGCCAGAAGTTGCTTTCATAATTCTCTCAAAAGAGAGGGGTTTTTAAACCAGTCATTACACATTGACTCTGCATTTCGCACTTAAGAGATATGGTATCTCTGAAGATGGGAATAGCTTTGAAGAGAAACATTCTGTGGGAGAAACATACAGTATCTCTTGAGGAAGAAAAAAAATGCTCTATTAATTAAAAAAAAAAAAGACTGAAAAAAAGTTCTTTTTCCCTTAATTCAAATGTAACAAAATTGATCCAATTTTTTCCACAACAAATTTTTCCCTACCTAGTAGACTTAGCCCTGCCACCATCTTCCCCCCTAAAGCCATATTGCTCTGGGTGCCAGTTAACATAAAAAGGACAGACTCTCATGAAGTGTGTGTTCATAGGACTGCCAATATTTGTAATAAAGAAGCATAACATAAGTATCTTCAGGTAGAAAATTCCTCATGCAAAAAGTCTGTAGGAATTATTTTCATGTAAAATGACTGGAATTTAAAGGGCTTTGCAGACAGACAGCGGTTTTCAAATAAAAGTTCTGCTCATCTTTGTCAAAGACAGTAAAATCTCTCTTCCTAAAATCGTTTTATGTAGTAAATCAGCCCTGAAGAATCTCCAAACATGGAAAGTGTTTATACAAAAATAAGAGAAAGACTACCTTAAAATTTGGAAGCAACGTATAAGAGGGTGAACAGATCACAGTGCAAGGAAAAAATAAATGTTTAGGGAATAACATACTAGACAGCACTCCATTTTGTTAGTGAAGAACTGATACTAAGCAATGCATACCAATCCATTCAAGTTCTTTATGTTATTTCTTCCCAAAGACAGAATCCTCAAATTTTCTGTAATAGATAAAAGAAAGTTTTTTGTTAGTAAATTTTTTTTTTTTTAATATAACAAGATGCTGCAAGTCAGGTAAGACACCATATTCTACTTACAAACAAACTGCATTCTGAACAGGCTGTCTTAAAAAAGAATGACATAACAGAAACAAAAGCTCCTGACCTACACAGATGATCAGGAATGGATGCAGCGGACAGCTCAGAAACATGCTCATGAATACAAAGCTGCTCATGTGTAGGTTACCTAGTTGGAATTCAGTCCAGATAAATACTGCATAAAAATTATTGTTCCACTTTGCACCTGACCTCTAACTGCTAACTTGCTAGTTTTGACTTTACATATTTCTTATCCCTTCTTCCCCAGACAGAAGTTGTTCCAATCTTATTTTAAGGCAGCAGATTTGATTTTTGTAATAGAGGCAGCATATAAAGCTGCCTTACAGAAGTCTGATGAGAGACATTTCAACTTAGTCTAGCACCCAGACAAAACTCCTTTCTAAGTGAGCTGTTCTTGCTGGGGCTTAGCGTAACACTAGTGTAACTCAAAGCTAACACAAAACAGCAGTCTTTCTGTATAACTCATTTTCATTTTTCACACAAGCTTTCTTGCAGGTGTAAATAAGCAAACTGAGTTGCATCATGTAGCTGAGTTAACTTTGGATCTATACCTTTCATGAATGCTTTAACACTTCCTAACTGCATTAAGAATGAAATACTTAATGATCTTGTTTTGCTATTGTATGCATAATCATTGAAAATACATGGTACAATAATTAATGGCAAGACCAATGAAAGTTCCAACCAAGTAGCAACATATACTCCATAGATAGCACATGTAGAGGCTAGAGAATGCTATGGATGAAGATTCAAGGCTGACCCAAAATAGACAGTTGTATGTTCTATCTCAAGAAATGCAGGGCTGAAACTACACCTGATAAAACCACACCTGGCAAATATTCTAAAACAGGAGGATTCATTTTCATTAAAAAGTTGAGGTACAATGAAAATTCTTTTTAAACGCAACAGCATAATAAATGACCATGCTCAAAAAATGAAGAATCATTATCAGTAAGTCTAAAGCCTACTACAGCTAATATTCTCCAGAATATCCCCTAAGGATCCCCATCTACGGGGGAGAGCACTGGGAATGGCATTTTGGTCTAGCCAGCTATTCTCTCTGTAACTTCCATTTACAAATTTTAAGTTTGCACTAGCTTTTGAAATTTGTAAGAAATGAAAGGATACTTACAAATACAAAAATTACAGATTGCTTAAAAAGCCATGCCTTAAAATTGTTTCTAACTGCTGTTACTGTTTTTTATTACTCTTGTTCTGAGATATTTTACATTTTAAGGGAAAAAAAAAGTTCCATCTTCCTCATGGAACATTTACACTCTAAAACACAAACCTGATGTTGCTGTCATCTAAAACATCTTCCTCACATGTACAGATACAGGGAAGTGATCTTTTACACAGAATTATCTACTCAACATAACTACAGTATCAGGTATATACATTAATAGCAATATTTTCCATCTGAAAAGAGTATAGATGCTTAAAAAGATTTCTCAGCTTCTTCTCTGCAATAAGCAAAGGCAAATATGTAACAATTAGTGGCTTTTTTTTCACAGCTATAAGCACTGCTTTCTCTCTCTTTCACAGAAGCCAACAGAGATGCAGTGTTCCTCATATTCTATACCTTTAAGAGACAGATAATGTAGTTCTAGTTTGTCTGGCCTTAGGATCAAATATTTGGTACAGACTGGATGGTTGGATTCTACAATTTATTAATATAAATATTTAAGATGCTTTAAAGGCTTTTAAAGTTCTATCCCACTAAAAAATTTCATTGGTTTCACTTTTATATATAACTGCATAACTATTTTTTGCTCACGATAGTTACTCAAATCTAAATATGACAGTACAGTTATTTGGAAAGACTACTGGAATATTTTTTCCCTGATTAGTATTTGCAAATCTATTGAAGTCTAAGCGTATTATGAAAACAAATAAGTTCATCAAGCTCCCTGACAGCCCCGTTGGTGTGTAGCTGGAGAGGATGGGATTCCACATTCCTTGTCTCTCTGCCTGGTAATTTGATAGGGACAGAAAAGCCTGGAAGCTCCAGCCCAAAACCTGCAACTCTCTGCCAGCCTCATGCCACAGGATCAAAGTCTTGAAGACAGACCATTAAGACTTCTGTCCCAAGGTCAGTAAACCAATGAGCTTCAGCGTTTCATAGACAGCTGCCTAAGAAATAAAAGTTCAGTTCCACTTCTAGCCAGATGGCACACCCCTTTCAAGTACAAACAAAATCAAACCAAGTATATCCAATCCTCTGCAAAGTGGAATGACATTTTTCCATCCAGGTCTACACCACTCCAACCTCACTCCAACCAATACCACAATTATGGAGCTGCTGAACTGCAGACTTTCTCCATTATGAGTGTGGAAATTGGTCATTAAGTCACACTAGAACTGATTAGGTGTTGAATATCACATCCAGGCCCACTGGAGGGTACAAAAGTGCTTTCTGAATAATTTTTTTGTTTTGTTTTTTGTTAAATCTGCACAGTGAGACAGCTGCCAAGGCTAGTGCAGGACTACATGCTTTAATACACCATTACTGTTAAACATACATTCTCCAGTAAGACTGATAATTTTAAAGGTCACTTGTAATTTTCTAAGAGGAAGGAATTAAATAGGATAAGAATAGGTGGACACATGTAACAAGCTGTGGTGTATGTCCTATCCAAGCAACTAGAAACCAAACATAATCAATCACTGGCTTGTCACTTACTTAGGCTGTTCAAGTTGGCGATTCTTTCAATGCAGTTTGTAGACAGCGACAGTTTCCTTTAAAAGCAAGAATAATCAATTCACAGTATACAAGGGATCAATATATCAGAAGAGTTCTATGTCCAAACACCACCACTGCATTAGAAACAATTGTCTATTCTTCTCTCATTAGATGGTGAACTAACTGGATGTGCAAACAGACTCAAAATATCCTCAAACTATCAAAACTTCTGCAACTTTATTTAGCTTCTGGGAAAGTACCATGAGTTAGTTACCTGACATACCAGATTATCTTTTTATGCCTACCCTTATCAAATGCATGGATATTTATTTCAGAAATGGCTCTAATCTCTTTCAGAAAGTCCTGCTTAAGTCTCTTTTTTTTTTGCATAGCTTTTGGAATGGATCATAAATGTGCCGGTTAGCTGATAGACCCCAAACATGGACCTGTAATTATATACTGACAAACAGTATATAGTTTTTCTGAGGACAAATATCAGTATAGAATCTCCTGTAACATATTCTCAGTTAAGTGAACAGGATCTGTGGACTGAAAAGATCTGTGTGTGGAAAGAGAAACTCAGAAAAAGAGAAAGCTGCTGCTTTAAAGGCCACACTTAAAACATAGCAAATACATACTTCCACGATGGACAGCAGAAAAACTGAAAATTAATATAAAAAGAAGAGACTATTTGTTTTCAAATGGGTTTTTAACTGAACTTACTCGCAGTTAACAAGCGTGGAGAGAGATTCATCCATCCTTTCTACAGGAGGAATCTGACCGTACAGTTTCACCTCCTTCGCCTCTGAAGCCTTCTGGCCATTTTTTTCTTCCTAAAGAAAAGAGAAGATGAAGAAAAGGCTCACTGCTACATGCAATTACTAAAAAATTACTATAATAGTAATTACTATAGAAGTAATTTCAAAATGCTACTAAAAGGTATTACTGAAAAGAGAAAGCATTTTGAATAATGCTTATCAAGATTCCTGCTTGTGTAGCATGAAGAGGGGAAGGTTAGCTTATCCTCACAATTTTAAAGAGCTTCTACATTACATATGCTTTTTTAAAATGTTGTGTTACACTTGAGCAATATAATTACCGGGTCCTCTGCCATAATGAAACAGAGACTGGATGGAGGTGTAAAATTCTGAATGAAGGTACCTCCACAGAGACTGATGTATAGGAGCCTCAGCTAGGGCCAATCTGTAGCAGAAGCAGATTCTTAAAAGCTCTGACAGAAAAATCTCCTTTCTACTTCACCCCGAAAACCCAGTACTCACACCTAACTCACAGCACAAACTGAGCACAGGGGAGTGTGTTTTGGGGGAGAACCTCAATACATTTACAGTTAAGAATCTGAAAAAAAATAATTTCTAGTTAGCCACCAAAAAAGAGAGGGGAAACATTTCACACTTTAGGGAATACAGCAAAAGATAAATTTCCGATTTACAACCTTGGTTGATAATTTTCTAGATTAAATACTTTCTATAGTTCAGAGCTTTATAAACATGGCCATAACTTCAGCACCTGGGTTTATTATAACATACAGTCTATTAAATCTTTTAAAATTCTGAAGCAACCATAATTATTGACTAACCACTTGGAACAAGTATCTGTTTGGGCAGTACCAGCAGTTCTGACAGCTGCCTCCCCGACAGCACAGAGGGAGCATTTTGTCAATTCACTCAGTGGTCAGTGGGAGGACTGGAGGTCCATTAATAAAGGAGAGATCTACTCAGCACTTTCAAAACAAGGACTCTTGTTTTCTCCCCCATTTTTATGCAGCTACTGAAAAGTGAGAGAGCTAAGATCTGGCCTGGTTTATATGGCTACTTTGTAATTAAATTAATTGCATCCCAGAAGTCTTTAAGAATCCCACAGGACAAGATCAGGTTTTGATAACATTATTTTCTCTCTTATGTGTCCAAAATACTTCAGGCAACTTAATTTAATAAAGAATTAGCATGTTGCCTCATGCATTTATTTATATTCCAGTTTCTGTCCAAATTCCGTATGATATTATTTTTATTCATAATTAACAATTTATCAAATAAGCATGTCAGATGTTGTTCTACAATATGGTGTGTTCAAAGTCACTATATAAATGCAAAACTTTCATATTATTTTCCAAGAACAACACTTTCTATTTGCATTTGTATTCAGTTTATAATCTATCGGTTTATACCAACAAATAAAAATACATTTTTTCTTAAAAGCATGAAAGGGAGAGAGCTTCCAACACAGACTGTGGCCAGCAGCGAGCACTTGCAGGAAGACAATTCATCCTGATTGCGGCACACGTCTGGAAGAAAGGTCAGCTGAACAACCACAATAGGCCACAGAGAAACCACAGGTAGAACAAATACTTTTTATGAACAGGTTATGTGATTGCTAAGTTAAACTTGCTTTGATTTAATTAATGTCACCCTGACTGTAGGCCATAGGTAAACCCTTATGCCAAAGGGAAGAAAAACATCCGGAATGCAACACAGCACTAGATCTGATTTTACAACTCACATGAACCCAGATGAGGAGTAAAAGGAAAGATTTAGACCCACCGCAATAACATGAACAGCAAAGCAAATTCAGCACTTCATGCCTAACATTAATGGAAACTCACAGACACAAGTCTATTATCTCTAAGAGACACATGAAAGAGGATCAAATGGAAAATAAATCTCTAATAGGAAACATGGATTTGAGGTTTTGGAGGACAGAGTGGGGGAGGAGAAACAAATTTTTTTAATACTCAGTTTGCACCTCTAGTAATGCTGATGTCCACAAGCTGTTGTATTCTAGTTCTTATTAGAGGAGAGCAGGAGTGAAGTTTGTGGGATACACCAACATAACTGAAGAAAACCTGAAATACTGAAGGTACTAAACAATGATAAAATTCAAAAAGGAAGTAATCTTCAATCACAGACTAGTACCTTGAGTTAATGGTACAGATCTTCTGGCTTTTACCTGCCCACACTGCCTCATATCCAGATCTTTCAGAGACCAAAACATTTATAAACACTTTCCCCAGCAGCTGGCCAGAATTAGTGGGAGAGCGCATGTATACCGAATGGCACACCTCTGCCCTAATCTAAAATTCACTGAGACTGGGGAAAGATTCTCACTGGTTTTACTGGACTGTGAACTTGACCCCGGAGCATCCTACACCATCATTTGAAATCACATCCACATCTTTGCCAACAAAAAATTTTCCAGAAGGCTCCAAGACCAGGTCAGTCACCACCCGAGATGGCTGTCTGTGTTAACACCGTACTTTAAGAAGAAAAACAAGCAAGAAACTCATTCTGAGTTAAGCTTTGCACAATATGAAGGACTATGTTAAAAGACAACAGTAGAAGTTTTGCTGACTTCAGTCCAGTGAGAATTTCATCCTTGTTTATTCTGTGGGAAGGACTACACTCAGGTAAAACAAACAGAGCATAATTAAAACACAAGACACCCCCAACTCTAAATCTCTTTGTAGCCTCAGGCCTCCTATCAATGTATATTCAGCAGACCAAGACAAGAGAGCAAAACACTCATCTTTACCAGCCATATCAATTTAACAAGAATACACAGAAAGTCCAGCAATATGTATTATACTTTAAAAAAAATATATAATAACAACAATAATAGTTACTATTTCTACTTTGTGAAACTTCTTAGAGCAGATGTTCCAAGCAAACATATTTCTTACAATGTTTGAAAAACAAATTTAGCTGAATACTGTCAAACCCCATGCCACGGAGTACTGCAAAGCAGTTAGATATTGTTCTAGTACTTACCCATTTGGCTAGAGCTTCTTTGATAGTTGTTGCTTTTGCCTAAAAACAAAACAAATTTATATGAATATTCATTGCAAATTTTTAGGTAGCTTGTTCACTGCAAACCTATCTCCTCTCCCATCTTTCTCACTATCCTGCTTGTCTACTCCCTTCCACCACTTTCCTATATTATCTCCCTTCAGCTGCGTCTAAGAAGCTGGAACGCCTCAGTGTCTCATAATTTTATTTTCTGGGGTACTTGGAAGCATTTTCAGAAGCAATCAATTGGCTTCATGCGCGGACATTATCTTCCTGATCTTACTCTCTGCCCTGTGTGGAACATGGGTTTGGGATACTGCTTGTTAGCTTTGATGGTGAAATTCAGTTCAATTCAATGACATTAGAAATTGCTGCACTGAAAAATGTGGTCTAACGCTCTTAAACTCCCTACACTTTCTATTATTGTGCATTAATGACTTTCTGTCTGAAAGCAAATCTGTGTGTAGACAGAATGATACAGCCTCTTAGGGTTCACTGAAGAAAATAAGATACAATTTGCAAAAAATCAAGAGCAATCTGGATTGTTTGTTTTTCTCCAGTCATTTTATGCTGAGTCATATTGTGCGATGTGAAAACATCTATTATTCAGTTAGGGAAAATCTGAGAGCTGCTGTACAAGGCTTTTTAAGGACTGACCCACTGACAAACTTTCTGTTGTCACTAACTCCAACTTTTCTGCTTCACATCAGTCTTACCAAGAACACACAAAACAGTAGTACATAGAGAAAGTCTGATATATCTTAAACGTTAAAGATATTCCAAGATGTCTTTCGGATTAAAAAGGTCCCAGAGACCAATCTTACACAAAAACTGATCAAGAGCCTCCTTTCTACAACCAGAGGACTCTAATTTGGGCATCTCTATCGCTTTTCAGTGTAGCACTACCAAATGAGGATAGAAGCAGCCTTTCAGGTAATCAGATATCAAAAAAAGACTGAACATTAAAACCAACAAACTAGCTTCCACCCAGAATTTTACAGGCAATCATCTCAGTCACAGAGCTTTAGTGCTGGGTACTTTACTCCAGACCCCTGGAAATTCTGGACCCAATGGTGAAAGACAACAGCTAAGGCAGCTGCATATAAAAGAATGGCTACAGTCACTCAACACCCAGTAACAGCCTGAAACCCAGCAACACCAAGGAGCCTAAGCATGCCTCTCAAGTATCACTATATACCTTCATTTAGCCATCTATCACGGAGCATCCTCAGATGTTCCAGCTGCTCCCACCCACCGACGGGCATTCGTTTTCATCCTGCCTATGCCCCACGACAGCCAGCTCTGTGTCCCACTGTAGAGGACCCGACCTGGCAAACACATGCCGTGGCAGCGTCTGCTCCGTGTCTGCTGCAGATAAACACCTGCATGACCTCCTCCTGTTTGGAAGATCACATCCCCAGTTCCCACTCCAACAGCCTCAGGAAACCCGATGAACAGCTACCAGCCTGCCAACAAAACCAGCTGGCTTCCCCTTAGTCAGGTTTTCTGGATGGGAACTTCATTGCGTTTCTCATAATTCTGGTAGCCAATCGTTATGGCATTCTGGTACATGATCTGAGTCACTCATGCTGAAGACAGAAACAGATTTATATGACCAGTGGCTGCTTCCGTTTCAAAGTGACACCTAAAAGCAGGTTGGACTTGGAACCTAGTGATCCGCATGGGCACAAGGAGCAGCTTCTCCCCTGATCTCTGCTGACTTGTCTCTCCTGTTGCAATATCCAGTTTGGTGGAAATATGAAAATCAGCATCATGGATTACGAAGAGAGCACGTATCAGAGATTTCGTTTCGTTCTTTGAAGCGTACTTGGAGGTTTGTGTAGATAAATCAGTACCTTCTGCCAAGGTTAGTTAAAGGAATCCTCCCTCTGAGAAGCCTATTTTCAGGGTTCCTCTACCTGCATATTGAACAATTTCCTACAGGTATTCAGACTAAAGAAAGCCATGTTACTTAAAATACTCAAAATGCCAAGTTATCAATAGCTGGAATTGTCACACTGAAAAATCACCATCAACATGGCAGGAACAAGAAATATAATACCTTAAGGGAAAAAAAGGAACCAGTCCCATACATATAAAAGTTGTAACAAAAGAAAATATTTTTTCCCAAAAAACAAGGCAGTTGGACACATAGTATTTACAAAATTCAGACCCCCAAGAAAAAGTAAAACAGTGACACTTTGCCTTCATTTGCAAACATTTATTTATGTGTTAAATAGAGCAAATCAGAATCGCACACCATGAGATACCACGCTAATCGCTGCAGTAATCGCTGATACTGCTGCCTTAGACCCAGGCGCTAGCTCAGGTTTCGCATGACGCCATCCCCGACTCCCAACTGCTCCGACCTCTCCCCGAAACGCCCCTTTCCCAAGGCACAACCTCAGGCCCCAACTCCCCCGCCCCAGCCGAGGCCCCGAGCCCGGCGCTGCCTCCCGGCCCCCTCACGCCGTTGCCCGGGCTCCTCGGTGCCGGGGGCTTCGGAGGCCGGGGGGGAGGGGGGGTGGGGAACATCCCTGAGGGGCCGCCGCTCACACAGCCCCCGAGCCCGTGCGCCCCCCCGCCATGTCGGAGCAGGCCTCGGTCGTCGTGTGTGTGTGTGTGTCCGTCCCCCCACCTCCCTCAGCCGCCGGCAGCCCCCGGGGACCCCCCCGGGCTCCCCAGCCGCCGCTCGGCCGGCCGCCACCCTCCCCGCCGGCCCCGAAGGGACCCACCATTGCCGTTGCTACCGTTAACGCTCCGGTTGCTATGGCGCGGCCGCCTCCCGCGCATGCGCAGCGCCGCCGGGGCGGGGCGGGGCGGGGCGGGGCTAGGCGAGCAACGGAGCCGACCGCACCCGGCGACCAAAGAGATGCGCGGCCACAACGTCCCATCCCGGAAGCCGCGTCGAGGGCGGCCCGCGAGGCATTGTGGGACACGGCGGGGGGCTCTTCGTCCCCTCACAGCTCTGATCATCATGGTCAAAAAACCAAAAACTAAAACACACACACACACACCCCCCAGAAAGACAACCAACACCAAAACCCAACAAACAAACAACCCCACACCGGACCAGCGTTATCAGACACCTTTTATTGAAACCAATCTGACAAAAAATGAAAACAATTCGCAAATCACAAACTGCACCAAACGCTCGCCCCATTTCACCTGACGTGGTGCCTGTGGTAACAACGGGGGCTGCCTGCGGATCCTCAGAGCTTACTCACCCCTCACACAGCTGGCCACATCTGCCCAGAGGTTTGCCGGACGCCAGCGTGGGCTGTGCAGCCACCTTGGGGTGCCTCGGGCCCCCCTCGGGGAGCTACGGAAGCTCACCCAGCCACCCCACCAACAGTCTCCGTGAAATGCTGCCCAAGTTTTGACAGGTAAGGAATGCAAAATGGTACAAAGAGCAGGCACTCAGTTTAATGTATGCTTCAGGAAACGGTTGTATTATCTGCAGACTATCTGCAAGGTATCTTTGGTCTCCAAGTAGCGTTGTAAATATACAAAATACTAGCCCAAAAGTTGGCTCTTTTTCTACAGACACTTCTGTGAAGTGTTTTGTCCAGGAATACCTGTTCACAAAAGGCTCTTCACAGTAAAATTACATTATCTTTATTTTTCCTCCTTTATTTCTTTAAAAAATAGAATTTGGCTTTCCAAACAAATGAACCATTCAAAACAAAAATATAACATCAATTTCTTACATAGGCCTGCTCTTTATTAAGTGTTTTACTTCTCTTTCAAATTGCATATATCTGACACCATCTAACACCAAATTATTTTAAAGGCTTGTGCTTTAGAAATAAAGTGTGAGGACTTTCAAGCTATTGTTTTATTTGCAACTTAACATTTACTTCCTGAACCTCCAGCTTGCAATCTTGCATGGCAATGGATATGCTGAGGTAGGACAGCGGTGTGGAGACACAGGTATCAGTACTGGGCGGGTAACAAAACAGGGTTAGGGGAGGCACTGCTCTACCACAATTGCACAGCGCTGACTACTGAAGATGTGCATGATGATGCAGACTTAACAAACAGCAACCTTCAGACAGCCCCTTTATGGCTGCAACTTGGAGTGAGTTTGGGAAAAAGGCAGGGCATGAAGCACAGGTGATACCAACATGCACATCACAGCAGGCTGTGGTCCTGGACTTCTGGGGCTGCTGGCCTTAGTGGAGGTTCAAGCACCAGATACGAGTCTGCAAAGGCCTTTTCAGCCAGCAAGGGAGTTTAGAGAGACTAGGCATGAAGAGATTTTGTGTGGAGTGAGCAGGACGGAGTGGATGGATAAATTGTTCAATTAGCAGTGACGGCGTGTGGAGAACATACAACTTCAATCAAATAATAAGGAGTAATAAGAGTTGCAGAAAGCCGGTGAGACCTGAGCAGCAGCATAATGACAGTTAACTGGAGAGAAATATCCCTGAGAGCAAAGCTAAATTCAGTACCATAAACGAAGGGTTTTTTATCTTCCTGGACAGTTCTCAAACTGGTCTAACAAAATGACCTTGAATGAGAAATTTTATTGATAAAGGACTTTGTTAAACAGGCCTTCAGCACTGACACCATTCCAGCAAGACCCTCTCCAGAGATCAACTCATTTGGGAAGAAGTTGTTTCTTTCTACTTGAATGATGGGGAAAAATAAGGCACTAGCCAAAAATTAATTAGAAAGAAAAGAAAACCCACCCCAATCTCAGGCAGTCATGGAAAAGATATCTTAGACTTGGGTTTGTTTTGTTGCTTTTTGTTGTTTTGTTTTTTTTTTTTTTTTTTCCTTCGGAAGGGCATGCAGGGGTTGGGGTTTTTTAAGTATTGTGATTCTAAGTGTCTGTGTAAGGTGACAGCTTTTTACAGTCGGTCTTAATCTTCTACTGGCTAGGTTTTCTGTCTCTCAACTCTGCTTCCTCCCTAAGAACAGCTGTCAGCATCTGTTGTGTTGACATCATTACTAAAGCATTCCACAAGTAATTAATCCCTAGTTTAACGGCAGGTGTTATTAAAACAAGCAATGAAGAGAGAAGTAAGACTTGCACATAGTATAACTGCATTTAACCATGCTTTAACCTGTCCAACAGAATTTTAATACCCTAAGTGTCAAATGTCAATCCAAGACATTATAGGAACAGAGAACAGATGGTTACATCCCTAATACAAGTCAGTGCTAGTGCTGCCAGTCTCATAGGATGACAGGAAAAATACTCTTAATTTTCCCACTCTACAGGTAGTTTTTGTTGGAAAGAAACATACTGTCACCAGAAGACCAATACCTAAGGTCAAGGTATACAAGCCTCATTACAAACAGATATCCCCAGCTTCATGTAAATAGAAAGTGTATATGGCTGTAATTCTGAGAGTTGTAGGCTAAGGTGACTTAATACCCAAAGCCAGAATCATTCATCATTTTGATGTCAAAGTTTATCATTCATGGGTTGCCATCATTCCCCAGGTGTGATCCAGTCTGTTATTGCTGAGGGTGCAGAATAGCTGCTAAATTCTCCAAGTCATAAATACTGCAAGCAAGAAAATACCTACTGCTCTCTTCAGATACCTGTTTCTTGATATCATGACCAATTCAGGCTGCAAAATTTGTACTACACTGCAGCCTACTTATCACTGTTTCACTTTTCCTCTGTGTATCTAGTTAAAATATCTCACTCATCCAAGTAAACCCCCTTCTTTTTGGATTTATACTTGTAGCTAAAGTAATCATTTGGTTATTTCATATTTCAAAGCTTTTCTCAGTCCCTCCAATTCATCTGTCATTTTGATGGCTCAAGCTTATTCCTCCACAATTCTGCAACAGCTTGCAGGTGCTTAAGGGTTCATCCCAAATGCAAGTGCAGAAACTCCTGAATCTTTCCCCAGGAGTGCTCCTGTGCGTAGGCATGTGCTTTGCTCTCTCCACCCCCAAGAACAGGCACCCCCAGAACACGATCCATAGCTACCTGACAAAATGGAGTAGAAGGAGGATCAATTCGGTGACCTGCTCCCGGATAACTCAAGAGTTTAAAGTTTTCTTTCCCATGCTGGCGTAGACGCCTGATTGCCAGCTCAGCATATAAGGAGCTCTTCCACATACGATCACCTTCCCCTACCACTAAGAGAAAGTGACCTTCTGCTTTTTCGATGGGGATCACGCAGGGAGAATTAGCAGGATTCATTGGGTCATCCAGAGCTTCAAAAATGTCAAATACACCAGCGTCAGAAACACTGACCTTATTCATATCAAACCGCAGCCCAGGCAGAGTCATCTCACCATAATGGAGGTCTGCAACTGTGTTAGAACTACAGCCAGAGATACAGACAGCAGCCACTACTTCTGGCAGGAAGGTGATCATGGAGAGTGCTAATTCTGCCCCTTTCCCAGTCCCAATCACTCCAACTCCTGGTCCCTTCACCTTCAGATAAGATAGGGGGTGGGGAAGAGAGGGAGAAAGGAATAAAGGAAGTATGCATTATAATGGGATTAGCCATTAAATGCCTTTGAAGTTGTGTTATTAAAAAAAAAAAAAAAAGGAAAAAAGTTAGGTTATTTATTGATGCGGTCTGCTGGAAGGCTACAGCCTGGACCCAGGCTCCTCCCTCCATTTAGTGTCGTTCTTTTCAGAGACAAGAGCTGTCACACCCCACAAAATAACACAGTCAGGCACAAGAAGTACCATCGCTTGGATGTCACCTAGTCTCTACTGCTTATTTTGATGCACATATTTTCTCTTTTCCCCAAAACAGGTAGCAGGAGATTCAAGCACAGTCTATTGCTGAATATGTCTTGGGCAAAACAAAGTAACCTCACAAATGACATCTGAAGGATTAGATAAGTAGGATTTAGTCTTGTCCTTTTCTAGCCTGGAAAGTAAAACTGAAAGCAACATCTCAAGTCATCAAATCCATTCCTTTGATGACTACTGAGCAGTTTTCTATCATCCTCTCTTTAACTGCTTTCATTTAAAAAACACAGAAAATTTTATCACCACTCCTCCTGTTTGGAGGATATTCCTGCACTTCACTGCTCTAATGATCAGGAATCTTCTACTTTCCATCATGAACAGCATGAATTTATTTAACAGACAGCCTGTGCTGGAAGAAATTCACTCTCTGCAGTCATATGCATAGCCACCTATTCAGGACCTACACTTCTTCCATTCTTGGGCCTAAACGTGCCCAGCAGAAACTGATACTCCAAAAAAATCACTACCACCACTTGGGCATGACTGCTGAATCCTCCCTTGTCCTAAGAGATCTCTCATTACACTCACCTTTGGGTGACGCTGTAGGAATCTAGCTGCCTCCTCAAAGTACTCAAGATTTAATTCTTTCATGACCTTAGGCAGATCTTCAAAGTCAAAATATGGCAGAGAAAGAGCAGCAAAACCACGGGTAGCCAGGAGACTGGATCTAAATTCAATCAAACCTCCTTCATCACCATACATGTCAATCACTCCTGGAAAGGGGCCATCCCCTGTATTAAAAAGAAGAGGTACAGAGGACAAGTTATCAAACAGGACACTAAAAACTATCTGGTGAAGAGTGAACAACAAAATATAGAAGGCTTAAGACATTTTCTATTAATACTCATTACTTTTCCATTTGCACAGTGGAGATTAGAGAACCAGTGCTGTATCCCACTTTAGCTATTTCAGACTAAGAATAGGTCCTTACAGTCCTGTAAAAATATGTGAACAGTCAAACTTGGGTGTTTTGGGTTTTGTTTTTTCTTTGTTTTTTTTTAAAAAAATGTTCTAAATATATTTTTTAAGGGTCTTAACCTCCCACCCTCAGAGCAATCATACTCTAAATCAGCTATTTTCCCACAAAGAAGTTATACCTTAATTAGCAAAGTGCAAGCTCATTACTAACAAAGCAAGAGCACGGAGCCCTGGAAGTAAATTCTACAAAACTTACGCAAACTCTGGAATAAGGTGCATTGAGCAAATCACAGGAAAGAGACACCCATCGCTAGATGAAATCCACTGAACTTACTAGCTCTATCTCAACATCAGCAGCGTAATACTTGGCAGCAGAACTGCTGCTGCAGATGTGAAGAGACAGAGGGTAAAAGTGAGAGCTATATGGGTGCAGTTATGTGTATATGACTGATATATAAACATGCACATTTGTGTGCCCAGTCAGTCCCACAAAACCACAGAAATAATCAGAATCACAATTTTAAACAAGCATGCTTTTGCAGCCAAGGTCATGCTATAATATTACTGTATGCCATGCCAGCAGATCTTGGGTTAAAAGGCTAGGGATACTACCTCTTGGAACTATGAAGACCCCAAGCAGGCAATTTTTTTTCTTTACTTTTTTTTTTTTTTTCCTAGCCACCAGATGTCACCAGTGATATACTTGGATCCAGCTCACTACAACTATCTCAGCAGAAAAAGCACCTGTTTGTGCAAGATAACATTAACTTTCTGACGTTACCTATATGCAATAAAAAAAAGGCCTCTGGCATTTCAAGGTGCTTGAGAAAATGAAGTTTTGGACAAGACATGCTAGATGGTGGAAGCCTCCTAACTTAAAGCATTAGGAAGTCAAAAAAATGATTGAAACGTGCTTTTAGGTTCTTTTTCCTTTAGTTCTGAAATTTTTCATTGAAGCTCAATATTCTACCTGAGAGAAAATACACTTGGATAAATTTCTCATAATGCCATGATCAACAGTAGTCTTTAGTTAACAACAGTCAGCCTAGATGGCTAGAAAAAAGTACTCATTCATTTATCATCCCTACCTGTAAAGTTTTCTAACAAGAACATGATCAGAACAGAGTCAAGTATGAATGTGTTTCTCTCCCATGAAGATAACCTTTAACTTAGAGAAGGATCCTGGACTGCCTTCTTGAGTGCCTACACATGCCCAAGTGTACAGTTTCTGCACAGCTCACTAAAAAGCAGGATAAAATGAGCTAGACAACTTTACTACTGATCAAACAAAAAAACCCCACACCTGTAACTCTTATGCCTGAACTGAGAAACATCTTTCATATTAAAATTACTGTGTAAGCCCACTCATGTCATCTCACTTTTACTAAGAATGGTTCACATTTAAGATTCCTATCTTATTAACATTTTTACATCCCCAGAGCAAAGAAAGGTATAGTAGTAATGCTGTAACAGGATCCTCCATCAAGGATGCCAGTATCATTTAAGCAGTGATTCCAGACTTTTACACACTATTACGCCACCAGACTTTCGAAAGGGAAAAATGCAGTTCCATCTTGCAGATCTTTGGATTCCCACTGAGCTCAGCAGAAATCCAGCTCATCCACTAAGGCAGGATATATCAAAACAACACTTCCGTGATGGAAAATCCAGAATGCTGACTAAATATCTGATCCAAAACTCAAAGTTCAATCTCTGTTGTTGTTTTTTCCTCAGTGGACTTTGGATCCGTATCTGAATGGATAAAAACATTATTGGTTTGGAAATCATTCACTGGAAATACTTAAAATTCCTAATAACTGTGGTGGTACTTACAAGATTTGCTGAACCAAGTCATTATAAATTAGAGGTAATATGGAGGGCAGTTCGAGTAGCACAACACTCAGGGAAATACAGGAAGTTTAAATCGTGGCTTAAGTGTACAAACACCATCATCAGTGTAAGGTTTCATTTTCCCACAGCCCTAGCAGTCCGTCAGAGTATCACACCTCATAAAGCACAACCATTCCCCACAAGCAGAACCAGTAGAACTTGCTCAGAAATCTATTTTGCCTTTATACAACTGGACAATCAAAGTAACTCAACTATTAGCTTTAGCTCTGGTGTAACTGGGGTGGGATACCTCTATTTCCTAGAATCTCTTCTGCTGCTCTGCTTACTGGCATGTGTTTCACAGGGAAGAAAAATGCCTTTTTGATTCGGTCCTACTCAGGGTAAAATTCTTGGGAGGTTTAGCACAGGCTCACAGCATGAAGTGTAGCAGCTTTCCTGAACGCTAGAGATTCCAGCAGTGCAGAGCAAACATCAAACCTACTAAAGAGTCGCAGAAGAAGAGCAGTGACATGCTAAACTCTACGACCCCCCGTTTTCACCTCTCTCCTGCCTGTCCCACAGGGGCCCCCAGCACCAGTTGGGCCGCGTCCCACCAAGCTTGGGGGAGCGCCGTCTTGAGATTTCCAGTAAAAAAAAAAAACAAAACAAAACAAAACAAACCACAAAACCAAACCCAAACCCACACCGGCCACCTGCCTGCGGGGCGGCGTTCAGATCTGTGGGTTTCCCGGGTGCGACCCTTCGTACGCTTTTCTTTTCAAAGAGCCTCTGGTTGCTCTGCGCGGAGCGGCGGGGGGGTCCCGCCGGCCCCCGGGCCGAGGCCTCCGGCCGGGGCACTCACCCGGCGGCAGGAAGAGGGAGCCCCTCACGCCTCCCTCCTTCAGCCGGATCCTCCGCACGCCGGGGAGCGTGAACCACCTCTCCACTTCGGCCTTGGCCACCACCGGTCCGGGGATGGTGCCGGGCAGGCTGTGGCCCCGGTGCACCAGCATCTCCACCTTCATCGGGGTGCCGGTGCTGCGGGGAACGAGTCGCTGGTACGGCCTCTCCATGCCGGCGGGGGCGAGGCTCCAGAAGAGCCCCATGGGCTCCACGCCAGTGTAGTCCCCGCCGTGCGAGGCGTCCGTGCCCAGGTGCAGCTGCCCGCGGCCGTCCGCCCGGTAATGCGCGCACGACTGGAAGAGGCAGCCGCGCTCATCGGCCGCCACCGCCCGCAGGGTCACCGCCTGCCCCGGCCCCAGCCCCGCCACCCGCGTCTCCACCCGCTCGTCCGCCAGCCCGGCGGTGGGGGACACGGCCACGCTCACGGCCCGCCGGGACGGCGCGGAGCGGCGCAGGGCCCGCGCCGGGGCCGAAGCGGCGGCCACCGCTCTCCACATGCCGACGGGCGGGAACAACGGCGGGCCGGCCGCCGCCGCCGCCGGCAGGCAGCCTCAATCGACAGCAGAGCCCGCCCCGGGGCGGCGCCTCGCTGCGGCGGCAGAGGACGCCTGCCTCCCCGGGCCCCCCTTCCGCGGCCGCTCCCGCCCCGCAGCCTGGCCCCGAGCCGTCGGTGGAGTTTAATGTTCCATTTTAATCCGCTAAAAATAAAAATACAGTGACTACAAACCGTGCCGACGCACCCGTAGCATTCACACGAAACAGCGCGCAGCAGTTCAGACACTCAGTTTAGGTTCGTAAGGCACGGATGCGCTAAAAACTTTTTTTTTTTTTTTTTTTTTTTTTTTTAATACAATAGTGCAAACTCACCAGCGCCTCACAGGCAACACTCAGAGCTTTTCCGTTCAAACCCGCACTTGGGTGCCAAACATCGGTGACCACCCTCAGGCGCCCCGCTGACCCCAGAGAGAAGCAGAAACGAAGCCTGGAGGGAGGAAGACTGGGCCCCGCCATCGCCTCACCCAGCCTGCCTCCCCACACACGACGGCCGCGTCGGCAAACTTGCCGCCATCGCGCATGTTGGCCCGGCCAAGATGCCTCAAGGAGCTGGCCGTGCCCTCTTCGCAGCCGTGGAGGAGGCGCCAAGGCTGTGTCCAGGCAGGGAGAAACTGCCCCCCCACAGTGCTGTGGACCCACACGGGGGTATCCAGTCCTGCTGAGGAGATCCCCAGGAACAATTCCAGGTATGACTACCAATGGGTCCAATTCTGTTGTTTCTTCATGCTTATGAACTTGCCAAAATTGTGCGGTTGTGTCTTGGGTTTGAGTGAGTGGTGGGGTTTTTTTTTCTATAGTAGCAGAGGAGGGGGCTACAGCGGTGGCCCCCTGTGAGAAGCTTCTTGGAGCTCCCCTGGCTCCAAGTCAGCCCCACCTCTGCACCAAGGCTGAGCCAAACAGCTGCGCCTCTGCAATAACATATTTAAGAAGGGATGTGGTGATGAACAGTGGGACTTGTGAGGAGGAGTTGCAGCAGCTGCTTGAACAGCAAGGTCAGTGGAAGAACGGAGGAAGAAAGGAGGGGGGAGGTATGCCGGAGCAGAGACCCCCCTGTATCCTGTGGGGAGATGGCAGGGCGGCCCACCCCGACACCCGTGAAATTCTATGGTGGAGCAGACACTGATTTATGGCCTGTGAGGGGCTTCACATAGATGACTAAGGTGGCTGTGCCCAAAGGAGGCTGGGATCTTGTGTGAAAAGGTAGCCCTCGCTGTTGTAGTTCAGCGCTGGGAGGATTGCAGCATGCGGGGGTGTCCCACGCCGGAGAAGCTTGGGAAGGGCTGCAGCTGTGGGAGGGATTCCAGTCAGAGAAAGTTGGTGATCCATGATGGAGCAGTGTGGGGAACGCTGCGGCCCGTAGGAGGGACTCATGTTGGAGAAAGTTTGTGGAGGACTGTCTCCTGTGAGAGGGGCACCACGATGGAGCAGGGGGAGAAGTTCCAGAAGCTCCCCCCACTGAAGATGGACAAAGCAGCAGCACTGACTGCACCCCCCATTCCCTGCCCCTGCGCTGCTGGGGGGAGGAGGTAGAGATATCAGGAGCAGAGCTGAGCTCGGGAAGAAGGGAGGGGTGGGGGGAAGGTGTTCTCAAGATGTGGCAATGCTTCTCACTGTCCTACTCCATTAAGTGTTGTTAGTGTCGGTAATAAAACTATGTTCTTTTTTTTCTTCCCCTAACAAGTCTGCCTTTTGCCCGTGACCATAATGGGTGATCTGCTCTTCCCAGTCTTATCTCAAATCCCAAGTCTGGCTTATCTTTCCCTTCTCATCGCTGGGGGGGAAGGGAGGAGTGAGTGGCTGTGTGGTGCTCAGTTGCCCTCTGAGCTCAAACCATGACAAGATGTCTCATTTCTATTGCATGTGCTTGGAACGTTACACCAGGCTGTTGTTGTCTATAAATGGGAGATGTGTTATCTGAGAATACTGTCCTGTTTTTGCCTAGGATAGTTAATTTAATTTTTCCTCTTAGTAGCTAGAATAGTGCTGCGTTTTGGATTTAGTATGGGAGTTGGTATGAGAAGAACACTGACAATACACTGATGTTTTCAGTTGTTGCTGAGAGATCAAGGACACTCCAACTCCCCATGTCCTGCCCATGTGCAGGTGTACAAGAAGCTGAGAGGGAGCCTGTAATCCCATATTACACAAAACAGGAGGCCAAGACCCCCAACCAAGGTTAGAGGAGGGTGTTAAAAGGAAACAGCTCTCATATTCTCACCTACTGTCAACCTCCAAGAAACTCAATAGTTCATTTTCTGATGTAATTTGTTCACCTTCAGAGCTATTTAACAAAACGAACTTGAAACACTAACATTTTCATCTGTAAAGTAACCTAACTCACATCACAGCTGACTGGATGTTGCAGATGGCTTGCCCATGAGATGTTTGTGGAAGAAAGCTTGGATCCGCTGCCAAGCATCTATCTGTGCCTCAGAGTGTGCCTTGGGCTCTCCTCCCCACACCACAGGCCGGCCAACTAGCGCATGCATTGAGGCTGCACACATCGGGAAAAAGGGGGGTTCAATGTAGTGCCCTGCTCCAGGATAACAGACCATCTCAGGCTTTTCCCTCCCGTGAGCTTGCAAACGTTTGCTCCCCTCAACTGCAAAGAATTCACTCTTCCAGTTACGATCCTCCCGGCCAACGATGAACAAGAACTGACACTCAGCCCTCTCCAAAGGGATGAAGCTTTGTCGGTCAGGCCCTTCTAGGGGGTTGTTCAGCACATCGACAACATCAGCAACCCCGGACTCATTGAACTTGATGCGTTTTGTATCGACACCAAGGGGTGGAATGGTGATGTCCTTGTAGCGGAGCACTGCGCCCACATTTGCCACTGAGCAGTTGATAACGGCAGTGGCCGTGATGCCCTTTAGGAAGGAGGCCATGGAGATGCACAGCTCACCCCCCTTCGAGATTCCAAGCAACCCAATCCCAGGGCCTTTAACCTGGAGGGGAGAGAAGAGAAATCACAACCCGTGAATCACAGCACGCCACTTCTTTAAAATGTTGTCATGTTCACAGCAGTGTCTCTCCTGAATCTGGACCCCAGGTATATGAATCTAAGTTCCTGTGTGCCCACATCTGAGGGACCCTGGGGCACTGTTCTGTGCTTGATTTATGATCATAAGCCTGCTGAGACTCCAGCATCATCCCAACAAAGCTACAAGGCTCAGTGTTGAAGCATGTGCTTCAGCCATGCTTGCAAAAAGCATGCAGATGTGCAGTCCCAGATTCACTCTGATTATAAGGCAGTTCAGGGAAGAAGAGGGAAGGGGCAGGGGAGGCCTCTTCTACAAATGCTTTATTTCAATGCAAAATGCTCAAAGTCAGCAATGACTATGCTACTGTCATCAGTTATGCTAACATATTTCTTATATTCGACCACTGTCTTCGATTCCCCTATTAAGAAGCTAAGATGGGGTAGCAGAGTCCACATCAGCTGTTCTCCCGTGACTCCAGTACACTTGGTGTCTAACTCTCAGTGAAAAGGAAGTATTCTGATTAAAATGTGTCTTTAAAAAATAACCTATTAAAATAATTTTTCTAAGCAAATTGTACAATCCTCTGGAGTCAATCTAGAATAGGTTACCTTCATTTTCTTTTACACAGGCAAATTAACGAGCGACAGAAAAGCTAAATGATCTTACAGGGTGATGAAATCCTCTAAGGATATTGGAAGAAGTTCAGGTAATATCACAACTGCTCCAATATCCAAAGACCCTCAGAGGTAAAAAGGCTTTGAGAGAGCATCAAAATTTAATACCTTTCATACCTTATCACCAGTGTAATAGGCTCCAAACCCACTGACTTTGAAGCATAGAAACAGGGAAATTAGGAGATAGGCCTGAAACTTTGCAACATGTTAAAAACATGGTGAAGGTATCAGTGGAGATGTTAATGGCAAGCTACGGTACTGCCCTCGGGGGACAAAAAAGGCAGGGGGGAAGCAATTTTTGGAGCTTTTTGGGCAGAGAGATGGCACGAGCAGTTAGGGTTAGGGTGACTGAAAAGCGACCAAGACCTTTAACAACTACTCATCGGTCTGAAGTTGAGGAAGGTATCTATTTCAAGCTCTCCAGAGACACCAAGTGTTGCCTTGTGCAGTTCCAGTTATTGTCATGCACAGCTACTTGGAAGCAGACACAGAACTGAGCAGGGTTCTCTTCCAAGAGGTATCGACTTAGAAGGATCCCCAAAGTTCACAACTGGCTACTAAAATCCACGCTTACCAAATACTGACATTTGCAGTGATTTTAACAGGTTATACAACAGACAGCAACTGGTGGACTTCCTTGAGGCCTGGATCACAGAAAGCTATCGTGCTCCACAGCTGAAAAGGACATTTAGTTCTGAAGGTCATTCTACAGAGCATGAACCTAAAAGCCCTGCTGGAAGTCAGGTAAGCCTCCAGTACCCATAACCAGGACCCTGGTTATGACACTGGGCTGAATGAAGCAATTACCAGTATGTGACCTATGTGTCATTGTGTCACCTGGCCAGTTAAAAAAGGCAAAATTAGAATAACCTGCCAGATAACCATTGTAATGGGCGTTAAAGATATAAACCAAATTAATTACAGCCCACTTGAACAGAGATGCTATTTTAAGTACAGGCGCTCTGCCCCATCTGCAGTCGGACAGGACCTGACTAATGAGAGTTCCCTGTAGTGAGAGGGTGTCAGTGAACAAACTAACCTGGGTGTGTTGTAACATATAGTTTATGGCTTCTTCAAAATATTCCAGGTCTAATTCCTTCATATCTCTGGGGAGATCTTCATACCTGTAGAAAGCCAAAGCCAGCACAGCAAAGCCATAGTTGGCCAGCAGGCATGCCCTGTATTCAGGGAGTCCTCCTCCAGTTCCATACAAGTCAATAATTCCCGGAAAGGGACCGTTTCCTTCAAGAGACCACATAACAGGACATATTAACCTGCAATTTTTGATTTATATTCCAAATTCATAGGGAATGTGTCTTTTCAAAAAAGAAAAAAACATAGAGCAGCAGAATGGTACTAAGGGTCCTAAATTACCGTGCCAGTTTGCAGTAAATGGCTACATTGCTTCAAGATTAAACAAGACAGCACCAAATTTCAGGCCTGCTGATGTTTTGGATAACATTAGGGAGCACGTGGCTGGAAGGGAAGAGATCCCTTGACATGACAGTCACAACTACTTCTCTATATCATGTAAATTCACTTCAGAGGTACCAAGCTCTGTGTTAACAATACCCAGGAGGCTTCTCCCCAGTGCACTTCTCAGAAGACTGGTCAAAAAAATCTCATCTTCTGATGGTTCCAGCTTCTCAGTTTCAGTGTAAATGGACTACAGCTGTTTATTCTGGGATTAAGAGAAGAAAGTATTGGCAACTAGCTTTGCTAAGCCGGTGAGGAAAGCTTTACATAAGGTTCATCAGGGGACAAGGACTGAAGTCCCGACCTGAGCGGGGTTGCTGCAAAATGGTAGCAAACCATTTGGAAAGGAGGAGGCTGAGAAGGAGGCTCCCGTTCCTGCTCAGAAGGGAGGGTAAGGCTTCCCTCAGGTGTCTTCAGACTAACAGACATAACCTGAACAACAAACAAGAACTGGAAATTCAACCCCAGCCACAGGACTACAATGCAATCAGAGTTTGGGACACTGGCTGGGACAGCATGTATGATTTTGGCACTATCCTGGAAGAGTTACCAGGGACAGACAGGGAAGAAAGTGGAGAGGGGAAGGCTACGTAAAGGAACTCCTTGAGTACACAGGGTTCCAGAGACGTGCTTCGTGAAAGCCTCTGGATCACAGGGGGAAGGAAAGGTGGGATATGGTGGTGGTGCAGCTGCTACAGACCACTCGATCAAGAGGCAGGAGATGAGGCTTCCTGTAGACAACTAGAAGCCTGGACAGCTGCTGGGAGGACAACACAGCATTTGTCAGGCAATCTGAAAGCATCACAGACCGTTTCAATGATTATTTTCTGACAAAAATAGTGTAAGGGCAAACCTGTCTCATGCTTTACTTGATCTTCTGCTCACACACGGGGAAGAACTGGTGACAAATGTGGCAGCAAATGGCAGATTGGGCTGCAGCAACTATGACATAACAAAATTCAGGATCTGCAGAAAGGCTGGGAAGCAGCAGGCTCAGGACTCCCAACTTTTGGAGAGTAACCTTCAACTTACTCAGAGTTACTGTCTGAATTCCCTGGAAAACAGCCAGCTAGAGGAAAGGTACCTTGAAGGCTGGCTGACGCCACCTCCCACGGTGTTTGGAAACAAAAAGGGTACTGTGATCAATGCCTTCCATGTCCAACACCAGTCAATAAAACAAACGCGCGTATGTTTTACCCCATGTAGCTGCTCCACGCGAGGAGTGTGGGCCACCAGCTCAAAGCTGGTCAGGCTGATCAGGCCACCCCTTGAAGAGGTCCAGCTCCCCCTTGTCCCCTGCCCGATACGGGGCCCAAGGGGAGCCCGGAGGGGGTCTGCTCCGGGCCCGGGAGCTCCTTTCCACGGGGGATGGAGTCCGGCACGGCCGATACTCACCGCGGGGCAAGAAAAGCGTCGCCCGGATCCTCCCCTCTCGCACCGGCACCCTGCGCACCCCGTCCTGCAGGAACACCCGCTCATGCTGCGCCTGGGCCAGGGGCCGCCCGGGGGGGTCCCCGTGGCCCTCCAACACCTCCAGCTGCAGGAGGTAGGGCTGCTGCACGTCCTTCTTCACCAGCCGCCAGAAGGGCTGCTGGGGCTGCAAAGCCCAGAGCAGCCCCATGGGCTCCAGGCCGGAGAAGCTGCCCCCCGGCAGCGCTGGGCAGCGGGCGAGGTCCAGCTCCCCGTCGTCCCCCGCCTGGTAGCGGGCGCAGGCCTGGAAGAGCTCGCCCGTCTCGTCCCGCAGGGATGTCCGCAGCGTGACCGGCTGCCGCGGGCCGAGGCCTCGCACGGCGATGGCCAGCGGCTCGTCGAAGAGGCTGCGGGCGGCGGGCGAGAGGCGGATGGAAGGGGCCATGGAGGAGAGGCGGCGGGCCGAGGCCGCCCCGGAGATCCGCCGGGGGCTGGGCCAGGGCAGCTGCCTCTGCCGACCACGGGAGCTCACCCGGCGCAGGGAGCGGACAGTGACCTGCCACATGGCCCTGGGACTCGCCCGCCCCTGGGGACGGTACTGGGGAAGGGCCCGGCGCTCCCGGGGCCCGGCTGGGGCGGGCGGTCCCGGGGCCGGGCTGGGGCGGGCGGTCCCGGGGCCCGGCTGGGGCGGGCGGTCCTCCGCTCTCCTCCGCCCCGCCTCCTCCCCCGCCTCCCCCCCCCCTCCGCGCCTGCGGGAGGGGGCTCTGCGAAAGTCTGTGGGCTCCGACACCCGTCCTGGCCGCGGGGGGCTGCTCCTCGGTGTCTCGTCCCGCGACCCCCTCCCCGGTTCCCCGGGCCCGGGCGGTGGCTGTGGGCGAGGGGACGTGCGGCGCAGGGCGGGAAGGAGGGGGGTGACGAGCCACCGAGCAGAATCGCTGTCGGGATTCGCTGTCACGACAGGGAAAGGGGCCTGTGTGCCTGCGCGCAACGAGGCCAAGGGGCAGGAGCGAGGCCAAGGGGCAGGGGCGAGGCCCAGCCGCAGCCGAGGCAGGGAGAAGGCAAACCGGCGCCAGCCCGCCATTCCTTCCCGTCTTGTTGCCGCCCCTTCCTCCATGGGTGCCCCAAGGCCTGGGCGAGGTTGGGTGGTGTCTCCACCAGGCTCTGCCCAGCCCTGGCACTTGCGCAGCCGGATGAATTGGGAAGAGTAGTCAGGGGTGTGGGTGGGGTGAGGTAGGGGTGCTTGCACAGACTCCTTAGGCAGGCCAGGAAACACTTGGCTCTTCCAGTAACGGGTTGTGCAAGGGTTTAAAAAGGGAGCCACGCAGTCCGCCCTACCTAGAGCTGGATCTTTTGCTCCAAAGGGAACTGCAAAGGGAGAGCTGCTTCTTCAGGCTCCCTGACTCCTCCTGGGAGATGCAGGTAGAGGTGCCTCTTGCTCAGAGCTCCCAGTGTCTGACTTAGTGGTGTGAAACAAGTGGAAACATCTGAGGAAATCCTCAGCATTGTCCTGTTTGTAAATACTAAGTGGTCAGAGGTATTGGGCAGAGTCTCATCAGTCTTTCATTCTCCGCACGGCGATGGCCAGCAGCTCGTCAAAGGGAGCGACCGGGACCTGCCACATGGCCCTGGGTTGCTGCCTTCACTGTGTCTGCATTCCAGCTGAGGCTTCTTCTAAATATGCAACTTCCTGCACACCAGCGAGGAGAGAGGAATTGGGGCAGGAGCTGTTTGGGCCTGCACCCTGCAGGGTGATGTCAAGGCTACCTGGAGCTGCCAGCACCCATGGCAGGGCAGGAGTGGCACAGCCGCTCCCTGGCACTGTGGGAGCATCTCCAAAGGGTGGGAGCTCTGCCCAGATACTTGTTGACAAATACTGTGCTTATCTGCTGTGGTGGCAGTTCTCTAGACCAGGCCTGTTGGTAATTACCCTTGCAGGTGCAGGCACAGCTGCAGCCCTCCTCCCCGGGCTTCTCTCACAGACTCTGTCTTTCCTCTCCCTGACTCTGCCAAGCTGCAGGCTCCCTTCGGAAGAGGTTAGTGCTTTGCTGCACGCAGACCTGCAGGCAGCTGACCCCACAGTCTGGGAGCATTTTGGCAGCTTGCTCCTGCCACCTTCATGGACTGCTGCCCGTGGAAAGGCCACCCCAGTGAAGGCCACCTCTGTGACAGGATCCTGAACCCAACAGGGTGTTGTCACGTGTGACCAGCTGCAGGCATGGCAGTGTCTGGCACAGACCTCCTCTCCACTCTCCTCTGTTCCAGCTCCTGTCCCCGAGCCAGGACATGTAGAGAGAGGTCTCCTGCAGCACCAGGAACTCTCAGGAATCGTCCCAGGGGAACCCTCTGCTCAGCCTCTGGTGTGGGGCTCCCGCCAGGACAATGGGGCAGGAAGGGAGCACGTTTGGGGTTTGGGTCCAGCCTACCCCCTGCGGGAAGATGTTCTGCAGCTCATATGGGATGGGAGCCCACCTTGCTCAGCGGGAGCATCCCAAGAGGGGCTGGTGAGGCCCTGTGCTGGGGTGGGCGCATGAGGCCGTGGCCTGGGAGCATCTCAGGGGAGAGACAGCCCCACCAGCCTGGCACTGCTCTCCTTGCATCTCCTGGGACTTTGCAGTCTTGCACTTCTTGCCAGATGACAGCAGCTGGTGTGGCCATAGGCTGCCGCAAGGCTTCTGTTGCTCCCTCCCTCCTGCTCTGCCACCGCCTACTCTTCTTGCCCATACCCAGGCAGAGTGCCTTATCCAGCCCAGGGCAGGCCCACAGGTTTTGCCTGGGCCAGTTGGGAGCCTGGATTACAAAATATCCCAGGTAGAGGAGGGCCTGGGAGTTTCATTTGCTACTAATCATCTTTTACCAATTCTGATCATGTAACCGGAAAGTGGTAATTAATTAACTCTCTAAGACTCAATTTCGGAGTTTTAGAAAGCAGGCATTCTTTATTACAGCACCAGACACACGGGGGATAGCTCCTCCTAATTGTGTGTGAGAATGAAATCAACAAGCATTTATACTACCTTAATCATATATATTCATTGCATTTTTATAATATTCATAACTTTTCCGGGAACTCATTTAGCATATGTTAATGTCTCTTGTGCATGTCAGTTGGAGTCTTTGGGTGGTCGTCAGGGGTCTTCAGATGAAGGCTCGTAGTCTTCTTCGCTGTGTCCGCCAGTTGACCCTTACTTCTGCGCAAACTCAGTCCTGTAGTCATGTACATCTTGTCCTTCAGGTCTGGCCTGGTCTGGTTTGTTGCTAATTTACAGCTTCTTTATGTTTCATTGTACCTGCCACTACAAGGCCAAAGAGTCTCCAGTAAGATTATTTATGAGTTCCTTATCCTACAGTTACTCCAATTATTCCTCAAAAGATTAGTATTTGTTCTACAGCACAATGGTTAAGTGGCTAAGACAGCTTGAATTGATCCTAATAATTCTATTCCTCAAATATCTATTTTCTAATAACCTTAGTTCACAGGTATCGATCTCTTATATAAATTTTGCAATCCAAACATGAAGCAGCAGGTGCACAGCCTTTGAGAGGAGATCGCACAACAGCTTCTCGAATGACCAGACCATATTGGGGCCAGAACTGGAAGTTACCAGCCAGAGCACATCCTTTCAGAGAAGTGAACCCAAGGCACAGAAGACACAGCTCTTCCAGAGAGATCTCTCTCACAGCAGCCTGAGACCTCTTGGCTAGAGACACCAGCACCACTACTTTTTCTAACACCCCATATTGTACAGTTTCTGCAGTTTAGCAATCAGAGATGTTTCCATTTGTGATGAGACATTCACTATAAATGTGGTGAAATCTCTGTACCAAAAGGTGCATATGGTGGAGGTTGCTTTAAAGTATGGGCTGAAGATGGGGAGATCACAGTTATATGGAAAGAACAGAAATTTATTTAAAGTTCACAGACCACCAGCAAGATAAATGAACATATTGCATATGATCTGTTCAGTTAAGATCAATTCAATTGCTAACCCTTTTCTCAATGCCTGATCAAAAGAGATCTGGGAAATTACAGAAAATGTGAACCCAGTTATACTCACAGCTGCAGGTATATCAAGTCATGTTATTTGGGTTATACTGGCGCAGGTGTGAACAATACTAATTCGATAAATGAAAATGCATCTGTCAACTCAGGTCCTTCAGACCTGGGTGTACTTGCTGGTTGGGTAGAATAAAGACTAGATTTCTTGCCAAGCATCATCCTGGCCCTCTGAATGAGCCTTATGCTGCCTCATAACTTATCTTAGGTGGTCAGCTGGTTCACAATGGACATCTTGCTCCTGGTGAAGGGTGGAAAGGGATGGAGAATATGTCTAGCATTTACTTTCTTTGAGATGGCAGACATTTTCCCGGTTTGATTAACAAAAGACTTGGCTTTGCAGAAATGATCTGCATGCCCACTGATGAAGAGAAAGTGCCTGTCAAGAGCAGTGGTCTCCCCAGTACGTCAGAGGCTATGCTCAAGACTGTCAGTCAACTAATGCTGCACTGAACACCACCTGAGGCGAATGCCAGCACTTCTTACCTGGGCTGCAGCTGAAGGTAACTGGTGGGGACATTCAGGTATGCTGAGAGATTTCACAGAGTACCTAGGGGTGATGGCAGCCACCAGGGCTTCTGCTGCATTAGCTGCAGGCGTGGCCCCACCTCCCATGTCCCATCTGATGCCCTGCCTCCTGCCCAACACCGGCAGCACAGGCAGGATGCTGCCCACATTATTAGTGTAAGGAATGATTCTCTCAGATCAGACTGCCATTGCTAGGGTCAAGGGGTGGCATGACCCTTACCTGCATTCAGAAGGCATTTGCATGATTCGCTCTTGCTGCCAGATGACCCGGACACCAGATGTCCCTGGCAGTCCACCAGAGCCATGGCATTGCTTACGATCCTATGTTTTCTATCACTGATTGGGTGAGTCATCATACGGGCATGTAGTTGCTCATCTTTCCTACTACCTCTACGAAGGTTTATTTTTGCGGAGCGGCAGAGGAACGAAGTGCCGAGACGGGTTCAATGTGGGTGATAGAGCATTGAATATCGTATCCCCTTTATTGGTCCAGGGTACATATATTTATACAGACAACGATAATTATTATGCCTACTAGTCACTAGCTGATTGGCTTAAGCTCTAAAGGTCGTATTCGCACGGTCCACCTACTTGCAGTTAGCTAACAGCACAAACTTCTCATAACACTAAGTTTCTCAGGCCACTATTTCTAATTCCTCTTAACTTGTTTTCGTTACACAACGGTACCATAACACTAAGTTTCTCAGGCCAACGGTACCATAACACTAAGTTTCTCAGGCCACTATTTCTAATTCCTCTCAACCTGTTTTCGACACACCACGGTACACAAGGCCGAAGCATCCTTGACATTCTTCATGTATCAGCAGCTGCGAGCAGCTGCAGGCAAAGTCTAGTGAGGCCCAGCATCAGCGAGGCCCAGTATCAGCAGCTAGAACAGGCTCTGATTGTACAACTGCTCGGTGGGCTCAGGACCCTTGTCTCTGAGCCATTCTCCAACATATTTTATCACATGTTGTCAGACTCTGTTACTGTTCGGACCACACCACCCCAGAGGGAGCCGTCCCCAGTACACTGATAGCATAGCAAATATATATGGGCTATTACCAAGTTGGGACTCAGCAGACCTAACCTCAGCTTCTAAGAGTTACTCATGTATCCAGACCGTTCTCTAGATTTCTCCTGACCTCAAAGGGAAAGAGGGACCCATATCCTCTCAGCCAGCTCCATACCCATCCCTGTCCCTCCACTCCTCCACTGCTCCACTCTGGCACTTCAGGCACAAGTGCTTCTTGAGAAATAAGCACGTATAGCAGGCACCCCCTGAATATATGTCAGGGTTATAGCCCAAGCAAGCCTTGCCTTGCCTTACAACATGTGGAACATTCCCCTCCATCAGCCATAGTGTGGCCTCTGGAGGATGACTCACTTCCTCAGGTCCCTCGGACCGAAGTTGACACAGGGCTTGTGCCAGGCACAGCTGGGGGAACAGCATCTCATATCCCATCGCCTGACAGGGCAGACAGGCTCTGGCTGCTTGGTGAGCCTTAGTGCTCTGCAGCGGGGACTCCTCCTTAAAGCAGCTGGTCCTTCCCCATACCCTCCCACACACAAGCAGGGAGATTGCAGCTGAGGGGCACTCGCTGTGCTGGGAGATGTCAGGGCTGCCTGAAGCCCTTGCCGCAGCGCCCGTGGCCGGGTGAGCTGGGCACAGCCAGTCCCCTGGCACCACAGGAGCATCTCCAAAGGCAGCAGCTCTGCCCAGGCCCCTGCGTCCCATGGCTGCATGGGCTGTACCTGCTGTCAGGCCAGCTGCCACGGAGGCAGCTTCCAAATGGCAAGTGCAAACACAGGGCAAGTTCTTGGGAGCAATCTCCCTTCAGGCCTGCAGCTGCAGCCCCATGCCTGAGCTTCTCTCCCAAACTCAACGAAGCTGCAAGCTTCCTTTGGAAAAGGTTGCCCCTTTTCCTGAATTCATACATGTTGGCAACAACAGTTTGGGTCTTTAAATAAACGTACTGAAGATCACCTACATGTAGTGAATAGGATGAATCCAAACACTAGGAGATCTAAGTACTAGTACTTAGCACCAGGAGCACTAAGGGTATACTCAGGTTTCTGACAGGCTGACTCTTTGATCAAAGACTGATTCTGATGTATCAGCCATGCCTTTCCTTCTGGCAGCCGTCCTCAGGCCATTGATCAGATTGCTGTGTGGGGTTATCATGAGGGGTGAAGTCCAAGATGTCATGAGAGGAGAACTGCACAGAGAACGTGCCCTGTGGCACATAAGGTCTGACCACTCAGAGAAGCAGAGCTGCCTCAACTATAGATAGTCATAGGAATGTATTCTTGCACTTTTCCTGTTTCCTCCCGGTGGTGGACGTAAGGTCTGAGAATAGTTTTAGCTGGACTTTGGATGAGAAGTTTTCAGCTGGAATTCCAGGTGAATTTGCAAGGTGCATTTCCTGTCGTGGGCACAACTGCTTCACAGTTCCACTCACCTCCTGTGAACCTCTTCACCACCATGAGGTCATTTTGGAAGCCCATTTCTGACTGAACTGCTTTATGTCACATGGAGATGCCATCTCCAGAGCAGGGAAACGGGAAACGAAGGGCATCTGTGGGAATGATGAAAGTCTCCTCTGTTTTCCTGGTGAATATATCTCAGTATGTAAGAAACATACTGAAGATCACAGTGCCTGTTGTCTGAACATGCTTTCCTCTCCAATGCCAGATTCCCAGTGATAAAGTGTGATGCGGGAAGGTTTAACGAGGGCTCTCACAAGCATACACATTATAAATAGGCTCAAGGCTATTGTAGCTGGTGCATCTGCTGTGGTGGAGGAACATGGGCTGGTCACCAACCCGCCCTGCTGCTACTTGATGGGACAAGTCCCTGCTTGGAGGCTGCTGATCTGTGTGTGGGAAATTCTAACTGCTCTGAAACATGAAATCAGGCAATTGCCTCTTTTCTCTTTATGAGCACCATTGCACTATAAAATCATCAGTACCAAGAATGGTACCTTTGTATCCAATATTATAAAAAGCCATAGAATATATAGGCTCCAAATAAACACGCTAAGAGACCTCAGAAATAAAGGGAATTGGGTGAACTTAATTTTGACCCATCTCTTCGTACTTGATTGCATACATATGAGAAAGTGAAAGACCATGAAAGCAATGTCTGTGCTGTTAACCTAATGCAAATTTGTTTTCTAAATTTTGCAGAAGATGCCATGTGCTTTTGGCTGAGCTACATAGTTTTCCTTGCTATCCATTGTCTGTAAAATGAGGATGATCATAGTTTTTTACCTTGCCTTGAGTTGCAAATTGAAAAGTATTGATAGTTAAGAAATACAGAGATCTTCAGTGCTGGAGGACATTAGAGAAGGATGAAGTATGGCTATTGCAAGTGTATTTGTAGCATTATTATGCATTCTATATTCCATTATTATTATTGAGAATTCAAACATGCATGCAAAATGCATTCCTATTTTTGTATATGGAACAAATCATAAAGCAGATAAATCGCTTTCTTAGTCTGAAACTGAAGAGATCAGTTTGTCACTAGGTCTGAAATCCTCCAGCACGTTGAGGCATCTCACCATTTTTCTCACTGGAAGTCAGTGTAGTGATCCTGAAGGGAAGACCATCGAGCAGTTAGTGACCCACAAGAGCTGACCCGAGCACGCCCAGGCCTGTGCTGTGCCCCGCTGCACGTACAGCACAGATCCCCTGGCCGCAGGAGGAGCTCAGCCAGCTCTTCCTCACGGAGAAGTCTGCAGGCAGCTCCCACCCAGTGCCTGCCATTACACCGCCTGCACCTTTATCAAACAGTGCAGCAAGATGTTCTTGTGCAAACATCGTTTCTGTTTGACTGTAGACATGATAAATTGACCCGTTTCCTTGTATAAATAATCTTACAATACCTTGAAAGGCCAAAAGGGCAGAATCTCTACTATGGACCATGTCTGCAAGGCATGCTGCGTGTGGGTCAGTCTTGTTCCATGCTACACTGCTTGGGGTTCCCAGCATCTAAAGGGATGCAAGATTATCTATGCTATTCTCTTCTGAGAACGTTAGCTCTAATAAATAGCATTTTTAATGCTTCCTTACAGAATGCAAGTGCCTTTCTCACTGGGATCATAATGGACCAGCACCTCCTAGTGCAAAACATTTGGTGCAGTCAGCAGGTCTCAGTGAGTAATGCCTTTCTGGAGAGAGAATAAAGAAAAGAGAAACTGTGCCTGGCCAGCCTCACACAAATCCATGAGGGGTATTTGCAAGATGTTTAGTGCAGGTGGTTTCCCCAGTGGACTTAGAAACCAAGGAGGAATTATCAGAATGCTTCACCCCAGCTGAAGTACTATGCTGTCTTAGGAAACCAGGGAAAGGAAAAGCTAAGGAGAATTTGCGCCGTCTTTGCTTGTTATTAACATACTTGGCATGGGGGTGCCTACAGCCAACGCAGAGAAAACTGCATGAGCTGCTGCTGCAGCTTTGCACCACAGCCACCAAGCAGTGAGCTGCGGTGCAGGCAGCACCTGCCATACAGCCACCCATGGTGCAAGGGCCCGTGGCACAGCCACCCGTGGTGCAAACGTCTGTGGCACAGACACCTGTGGCGCAGGTGCCTCTGGTTCCAAGGCAGGCACACAGCGCGGCCCGAGAAGGGCACCACTGAGGCACCAGCTATTTGCCAGGGGGTTGGATGGCGGGATGAGGACTGCTCATCCCCTGGTGAGGGTGAGTAAACAGAGGGGTCAGAGGATGAGTGTGACAACATCGTTCCTGTCCAGCCACTAGTGATTCTCAAAGGCCCCAGGGGTGCCTCAGCACGCTCCTTCGGTGTGTGATTTTACACAGCACGAGATTTAGTAAAAGCATACAGGCAAAAAAGGGCAGGAAAGGCAGGCACACTGGCTGTGGCAAGTGTGGGACTTTGGAGGAGGCAGTGTACACTTAAATCCTAAGCAATTAGAGTGTGTGGGTGCCATCTCACAGAACCCTGACAACCCAGCAGTTTAGAGGAGCACAGGGTAACACAGCCCACTCCTTGTGGGTATGGCTTCAGGAGGCTTTAAAGACAGAAAATCCTTCACATGCTGACTACAATGATAAAACAGCATTGTGGTGTAGCTGAGTTTTGTCAGTATTTACGGGAACTGGCCACACAGCCAGGCGTGTATTCATGTAACATGTTAAGCGATGATATGAAAATTTTTGCACCCATCATGAAAACCCCCATATTAGAGGGTGCCCCATTTGCTTTGAGAGGACCAATGAATTCCTTGCTAGGGGTTGCTGCAGGAAAACCAGTGGGGGAGGTTATTCTATCACTAAGACAGCTTGCAATTATCAGACTGAAGAGGCAGAGCCTGAAACGTTTCACACAGAACAGTGCCCATCACCAAATCTGCCTGTGAGTAATGGGAGTACTTCCTGCAGTAGGGCAGGCTGCTTTAAAACACTGTGTAAACACACAGATGATATACAGACTGCAAGAAAGTTCACTAGCTTCCTGAAGTTAGCTAGGGTGCAATAATATGGCTGGTGAAAGGAAAAAATAAAAATTATTAAGCATTTCCCTTTCCTGGTCACTCAGCCATGCAGAACCGCTCCTAGAGCAGATACCTGTTTTAATCAGAACATCTGATTTCTCTACCCAGACCAAAGACCTTCTGCCTCCAGATGAGATACTGTGATCTGGACTGCTGAGTCACACCTAGCAGCTGTAAGGCAAGAACAAGACAGAACACTTTCTAAACAAATGTGTTTATTTTGTTAAAAAACAAAGAGTTACACTGGCACCAGAGGCTTCTTCGTAGTCAGAATGCCCTTCTCAAACAGGAGCGTGGCTAGAGAAATCTTGTCCTCCAAGGTTTCACACGGAAGGTTATCCACACTGACATGGTTTGGATAGGAAGACAGGAGAAATTCGATACTGTCGGTATACTCAGGATCCATCTCAAGGAACTTGGGTTCCTCCTTGTGATACACTCTCGAGTTTTCTGTTGTGTAATATAGCATCACACCAGCTTCTTCATTACACAATCTAACGATGCCATGGCGGAGGAGACGTACTTCTGTGTCTTTTGTTATCTGTATATCGACATCGCAGGGGCCCCCATCCTGCCACCGGGCTGGGAAGCCGTACACACTCTGTGCCTTTTCACTCTGCGTAAGCACTGGGGGGAGACAGTCATGAAGAAATGACTTGGCTCTCTGATCCACAGCAGCATCAATGGGCGCATAGTCAACGAGCTTCTTTATCAGGCCCTGCACCTTCTCCACAAAGGCCATCCGGCGAACGTCGAGCGTGTCCGAGTTAGCGACCCCCATGTACCCCAGGTAGTCCATGGGAAGCCCTTGCCGGTACTCCACGTCCTCCTCCAGGGCCATCTGCAGGGCAGCAGGGAGGAGCTTCTCCAGGAGATCCCCCCAGGAGTTCCTCTGGTAGGAAGACACGGTGATGTGGAGTGAGTGCGCGTCAGGGAGACAGTTGCCTTGGTGGATAAAGCCGCGGGGGAAGTACAGCATGTCCCCGGCCTCCAGCACCGTCTCCAGCATGGGCTCGCCGAGCTCAGCCTGCGTCAGGTTTACGCTGGAGAACTGGGGCAGCACCTCGGCGTCTGTCCGGGGGCTGTAGACACGCCAGTGCTTCTTCCCCTCCAGCTGCAGCACAAAGGCCTCGATGTCATCGTAGTGGGGGGCAAAGCCCTGTGTCCCCGGAGGCGTGAGGTACGTGTTGGCCCCCGCCATGCTGCCGAAATGCTCCTGCAGGATGGAGAGGAAGTGCCAGACGGTGGGCGAGAAGGCCTGGGGGTTGAGTAGCCGCAGGGAGCAGCCGTTCTGGTAGAAGTCCCAGACGACGGCAGGCAGGGCCCGGCCGGAGGGGTTGTGTGTCTCCCGCACCCCCTCGGCGTAGCTGGTCACGTCCAGGTGGGTCCCAAAGCACACCTCGCCGCCTCGCAGGGCGGCCTCGAAGTCAGCCGTGGAGAAGAGCCCCGCGTAGTACCCGGGGTCGCCCCGCCGCACCAGCAGCGGTGCCCGCTCCCAGTGCCGCCCCAGGAACAAGCCCGGTGCCACCGGGGCCACCAGCCACCGGAACAGCTCGGCCGCCCGCTGCCGGCTGTCCTCCAGCCGTCCCAGCCGCCGCAGCAGCCCCGCCACGCCGCCGCCTCCCTCTCCCGCCTCGGGGCTGCCGCCCGGCGTCTCGGCCCGCTCCGCGCTGTCGGGGGACGACCCGGCGGCGGCGCCCGGCGGCGGGGCCTCCGGTTGCGGGCCGCCCCGGGGCCGCGCCTCGGCCCGCTCCGCGCTGTCGGGGGACGACCCGGCGGCGGCGCCCGGCGGCGGGGCCTCCGGTCGCGGGCCGCCCCGGGGCCGCGCCTCGGCCCGCTCCGCGCTGTGGCGGGGGGTCCCGGCGGCGGCGCCCGGCGGCGGGGCCTCCGGTTGCGGGCCGCCCCGGGGCCGCGCCTCGGCCCACTTGCCGCCCGCGGGCAGCGGCGTCCCGCAGCGGCGTCGGCGGCGTCTGCGGCAGCAGCTTCCCCGCCGCTCCAGCCGCCCGGCCCCCGCCGCCCGGCGGTACACCGAGAGGGCCGAGAGCCGCCCCAGCCGCCGCCGCGGCTCCTCCACGCCGCCCGCCGCCATGGCCGCTCGCCCCGCCCCGCCGCTTCCGCCGGGGCCTTCGCCGCTGTGGGCGCAGCCGGAGCGCGGCGAGCGCGGGATTTCGGGTGGGGGGCGGGCCCCGAGTGGAGATGTCGCGCGTCTGCTCGAGGGGGGCAGTTCTAAATGCGTGCTGGTGTGTAAAACCTTGTCTTTTTTTCATCATCTCCACTTAAAATACACCGGCCTTAGGGCCTTCCCCTCTGCCCCCCAGAAAGGAAAGGTGAGGCGCTTCCACTAATGTGGATAGATTTGTTCCCTGGCTGGAAAGCTCTCCTTTGTCAGGATGCCCTAAGCGCGCCCAGAAAAGATTTGTTCCAAGGGTGTACCATACGGGTACGCCTCCAGACAGCGTGCAGCCTAATGAGGCAAGATAAGGCCGCACTGATATTACAAGGTTCTGTTGCTCAAGGAACGGAAATCCAAGTTGGATGGCGCTAGTTCTGGTGTGCCATCCCTCCTCCCCTTTCTTGTGCTTCTCACAGAGGTACCAGGTGGAAGGTTACGTCCTCTCAAAGGATCCCAAAAACCAAAGGGCGGTCGCGTCATGTAGTGTTGTGGAGGTTTTTTTTTTGCGCAAATCCGCTAATTGCCTGACAACCCGGGCAGACCTCTGTTCTCTCTCCATTGCTTTTCCCAGGCCTGTCGCTTCCTGGATGGACAGTGTCAGCGGCAGGGCAGGTGCCCCAGCAGCCTGGGGGCTGCTCTGCGCTTCCAGGGGCTGCAGCTTCCCCACGGGAAGCGTTGCTGGAGGGCAGAGGACGGACCGGCAAGACCCAGCTCATGGCAAATGTGAAAACCTGTAGGGGTTTGTAATTGACAGACTGCGTCCATGCTTTTCTGATCAAGAACGAGCTTCGGTACAAGAAATTCACCATGCAGTCCTTCCGTGAGAAGAATCTTTGATGGCCTCTGGTAATTCATGGGAATGGATTTTGCATGAGAATTTCATCTCCAGAGGCTGCTGTGAGTGTAAAGCATTTAACTGGAGCGCTTACCCAAGTGTGCCCAGGAACCCTCTGGTTCACAAGGGTGTTATTTAGCCTCTCACAGATAGGAGTATCGGCTTCGCACAATATGTTAAACAAGCAGCTAACATTCATAAGGTATGTGCAGATCTTCTGTGTGGGCCACTCAGTGTGCTGGGCCTAAGATACAAAGCTGAAAAACAAATTTTCACCTCTTTTAACTCTGCCATTGCCAGAGTTTCAACCCAGACCTACACTTCCATTTTACCACAAGGAGCAGAAACCATTAGTTAGACCTAATGAGGATGAGATCAGCTGTTAATTCTAGAACAGATGCAGATATCTTAAAGATTTTTTTTTTTTTTTAATTGCCTTAAACCCAACACAAACCAGCCTCACAGCGCATCATTGCGCTATAAACAGCCAGGACCCATTTTGTATATGTGCAATAACAACGCTTTTCATTTTGGAGGTGTTTTTCGGGCAGCTTTCTGCCGGCAGAGCCTTTGCAAGCCAAAGCTCCGGGAAGAGCAACAGCAGCAAAAGACTGTCCTGCTTGCACCGTGACGGTTTTTGGCTGAGGGAGCCGGATTCCCGGCGTGGGGCGGCAACGGCTCCGCCGCCATTTTCGGCGTTGCCAGCAGGTGGCAGAGGCCGATCAGCGCTCTGCGCCCCTGCGGCGGGAAAACACGCGTGGGAGGGGAGAACCGCGTGTTCCTGGCAAGGTGACTGGCGTGGATGGGGTTTAAAACGGGAGGGAGGTTGTAGGCAGCCCGTGTGTGCATGTGTGGACTGGAAGAGAAGGGAAGGGTGAACTCTCTATTTCAATCCATTCTTTGTTTTCCCAAGGTTAAGCCCTGCTTACCAGAATAATCTTATCAGCTGAAACCGTTTCAACAAAACTGGGCCCTTAACAAAACTGAGATGCAGGCACTTTGAAATATGGTAGGTTAGGCCATTGTATGCTTCAGTTATACGTAAGCATGGCTAAATAGGCTTGGGAGGGGGAAGGCCTTTGAAAAATCTGAGCATCTGGGTGGTTATTTGTGTTACTGTTTAATTTACTGGAGTGCAACTGATCCTTCTCAGAAGAAGCTGGGCACTGTATACAGAGCCTGACCTGAGTTACACCGTAATATCTGTAATGACTGCAGCAAAGCTATTCTGGATGTTTACCAGTACGGCAGGTTCAAAGTCCCATTCGAGGGCTCTGATCTTCACGCAGATGTCACTGTCTACCACCGAGAGACAGATGATTGACACTGGATTTTTGTTTGATGTATAACAAAGTCTAAGAGAGAAGGACACAGTGGAAAATAATGGTGGTGAAATCTCTCTAACAATAAGATATTTCTTTTGACAATTTAGCCTTTCTAATAGTAAATGCTTTCAAGAATTAAGAATGTTGCTATTTTTCTGCTCGACACAAGAAAGGGTCTTGACCTAAGGCAAAAAGAGAGCTTCAGTATCATTTACAGAGTACTCAGATGGTTGTCTAGGAATAGCCACAAGGTCTACATGCTGTTTTCATTCATTGTCCAATATTTCAAGGGAATTTGTAGTAAAGAAAGAACGGTGTCACATACAGCTCTTTAAATAAACAAAAGGAAAGTAGCACAGATCTCTGAATGATTAGGTGGTCCCCAGCTGCTGCTCACATAGACAGAGTAGCAACTGGAGGCTCAATTAAATTTCTTAATTAGAATTTAGCACAAAGTTACTCAGATTTTATGAGCCTGTAAGCTGCATTGCCAAGAGCCACACGTGTTTTATTTAAGAGGATGTAAAAAACGTGGTGAGTACAACTTACTAAAGAGCCACAAGTGACTTCAAAAGAAGTAAGTAAATGGCACCTCAAAGAGATGTAGGGTTCATTTGATATTTTAACCTTATGTTATTCTCTGTTCAAATAAGGGAAATCTCGAGTTTGAAGAGCAGTTCAAGTAAGGCCTGACTCTGCAAAGCTGTGAGCAGTCTTCACTAATGAGTGGAAAGGGCAGAATTCTTTGCAGTTCTCTGCATATTGGATACTCAGTTGTTCACCACCATGCAAACCGCCCAGTACTTTCTCTGTTCCCGGCAAACCATTAATGTAAACCAGTCACTTTTAGAAAGTTAAACTCAATTTAATCCTTTTTCTCATTATTACTTTGCTGGCAACCTTCCTTTTGCACTGTCAGTTTTGTTCTCGTGCCAGAAGTAATACCCAGTAAGGAAAAGGAACATTTAAAGCCTTCACTAATGGGTTTCCTGAGCTGACAATCTTTCTCATACAGCCTGGTGAGATCCAGGATGTCATCACTGGAAGGACACTGGGATGGATTGTGAAGCCCGCTCCTTGTGAAAGCTATGGAGTTCACTGCCAGATAACAAGACTGAAAGCTAATTCAGGAACTGTTTCTCAAGAGCTATCCTCTGGCCCCCCTCATCAGAGTGAATGCACTCACTCACTGAAGCATCTCTTGGCAGAGATTTTGGCCTCTCTCCAGATGTTTCTCTCTTCTCAGGGATTTTCTTATTCAATGACTGGCTGTGGTCTTTAATCCTGGTTATCTTGTACACAGAGCCCCACTGAGAAAAGAAGCCTTCCCTGCCATGGAACAGTCCAATTAAAACAAATTTATAAAAATAATAATTACAAGGTCCAGTCCCCCCTATGAAATTATCTTTTTGAGGGATTTGGAAGGACAGACATTGTTACATGTGATACTAAATACATACTTTTGTAAGTTAAAGGTGAATTTACATAAGGTATTTGAGTAGCACCCTTGACTGAGCTTACTCACCCCCTTGATGGGGCATGCATATTTTGAAAGCATTTTGAGATAATTTTGTGAGGATTGTTGTGCTCTTAATAGACACCACCTAGCATTTGATAGCATTGAGCAGATACCATCTGCAGTAACTCTGTAGGCAGTGACTAAACACAAAGCCGCAGACTCCAAGACTGGTCTTGTTGCTTTTGAGTGGAAGGAGAGAAGTAAATGGCTAGGAGGGGAAAACCCCCATCCTAAAATGAAAGCAAAGAGAGCCTGAATGAAGTATTTGCCCCATAGGGTTAATCACATCTAGGCAATCGAGATAGAAGGTATAGTCAAGCTGTTCCTGCATGTATCACGTATCTTGTACTAGAGAGTATTCTTTTGATGTGCACAAACCGTAGCTCTTGACAAGCTGTTGATGCTTTTCTATGGAAGAAAGATTTTAAAGGATTCTTGTTATCCACATCTTTTCTGTATGAATGATGGCAACTGCATAGCTTTGCTCATTAAATATATTTATGCCCACTATTTTAAAATGAACATATAGCCGTGCTAACATATAGCAGCACCATTCAACATTTTCTTCTTCTGTACATTTCTCCTTTTCAGAAGCCTTGCAAAAGACTTTACCTTTTATTTCTTCTAAAAGCTGCCTATACCGAAGTTTTTCTTAAGCACTCTGAAATTGCTTACTCACCTCTGACACAGCACTACCAAGATGGATATCGTGCAAACAAGACGTCTTGCTTTAGCAACCATATCATTCAGATCTGCTCAGAGCATCATAGGAGAAAGCCCATGTTGTACTTGCTTATTTGCTTCCCACAGTAGATTTGTATTGCTACTAGGCAATATAGCACCTTCTAGAAGTATTTTTGAACATTTTCAGTGCTCATCCACGCACATGGGCTCTCATTGTTTTACCTGTATTGTCAAAAAGGTGGAATTCCTCTTGGGTGAACACAGTTATAGCAGCATAAAAATGCTTATGTTGTAGTATTTATACTGGTATGGCTTGTTCCTAGAAGGGATAATATTATGGTGTGATTAGAGAAGGGAGATTTAATCACTGACATTGTTTTAGATAGCCAATAGGGGAGAACAATGTTAAGCCTCGGGGTACCTGCAGTGAGGATGTGGAGTTTGCATTACCATGAGTGCATGTGTAATGTACTCTCAGGTCCTTAGGGGATAGGGTGCCATCCTGCCGTCCCACTGAGAGCAGAAAGGGTCTCAGCTAGAAAGGCACTGCTGA